ATGATCCTGAATCTACACACATCCTTAACTATAAACTCTATGATCCAGACTACACATCCTTAACTATAAACTCTATGATCCTGACTCTACACATCCTTAACTATAAACTCTTATGATCCTGACTACACATCCTTAACTATGAACTCTATGAACCTTACTCTACACATTCTTAACTATGAACTCTATGATCCTTACTACACATCCTTAACTATAAACTCTATGATCCTGACTTGATATACCTAACTATAAACTCTATGATCCTGACTACACATCCTTAACTATAAACTCTATGATCCTGACTACACATCCTTAACTATAAACACTATGATCCTGACTTGATATACCTAACTATAAACTCTATGATCCTGACTTGATATACCTAACTATAAACTCTATGATCCTGACCACACATCCTTAACTATAAACTCTATGAACCTGACTACATATCCTTAACTATAAACTCTACGATCCTGACCACACATCCTTAACTATAAACTCTATGAACCTGACTACATATCATTAACTATAAACTCTATGATCCTGACTCTACACATCCTTAGCTATAAACTCTATTAACCTTAATCTTCACATCCTTAACTATAAACTCTATGATCCTGACTCTACACACATCCTTAACTATCAACTCTTTGATCCTGACTACACATCCTTAACTATAAACTCTATGATCCTGACTCTACAAATCCTTAACTATGAACTCTATTAACCTTACTCTACACATCCTTCACTATGAACTCTATTATCCTGACTAAACATCCTTAACTATAAACTTTATGATCCTGAGTACACATCCTTAACTATAAACTCTATGATCCTGACTCTACACATTCTTAGCTATAAACTCTATGATCCTGACTACATATCCTTAACTATAAACTCTACGATCCTCCTGACTACACATCCTTAACTATAAACTCTATGATCCTGACTCTACACACATCCTTAACTATAAACTCTATGATCCTGACTACACATCCTTAACTTTAAACTCTTATAATACTGACTCTACACATCCTTAACTATCAACTCTATTAACCTTAATCTTCACATCCTTAACTATAAACTCTATGATCCTGACTCTACACACATCCTTAGCTATAAACTCTCTGACTCTCTGATCCTGACTACACATCCTTAATTATAAACTCTATGATCCTGAGTACACATCCTTAACTATAAACTATATGATCATGACTACATATCCTTAACTATAAACTGTATGATCCTGACTACACATCATTAACTATAAACTCTATGATCCTGACTACACATCCTTAACTATAAACTCTATGATCCTGACTACACATCCTTAACTATAAACTCTATGATCCTGACTCTACACATCCTTAACTATAAACTCTATGATCCTGACTACACATCCTTAACTATAAACTCTATGATCCCTACACATCCTTAACTATAAACTCTACATCCTGACTACACATCCTTAAACTCTAAACTCTATGATCCTGACTCTACACATCCTTAACTATAAACTCTTATGATCCTGACTACACATCCTTAACTATAAACTCTATGATCCTGACTACACATCCTTAACTATGAACTCTATGATCCTTACTACACATCCTTAACTATAAACTCTATGATCCTGACTTGATATACCTAACTATAAACTCTATGATCCTGACTACACATCCTTAACTATAAACTCTATGATCCTGACTACACATCCTTAACTATAAACTCTATGATCCTGACTCTACACATTCTTAGCTATAAACTCTATGATCCTGACTACATATCCTTAACTATAAACTCTACGATCCTGACCACACATCCTTAACTATAAACTCTATGATCCTGACTACATATCATTAACTATAAACTCTATGACTACACATCCTTAACTATAAACTCTATGATCCTGACTTGATATACTTAACTATAAACTCTATGATCCTGACTACACATCCTTAACTATAAACTCTATGATCCTGACTACACATCCTTAACTATAAACTCTATGATCCTGACTACACATCCTTAACTATAAACTCTATGATCCTGACTACACATCCTTAACTATAAACTCTATGATCCTGACTACACAACCTTAACTATAAACTCTACGATCCTGACCACACATCCTTAACTATAAACTCTATGAACCTGACTACATATCCTTAACTATAAACTCTACGATCCTGACCACACATCCTTAACTATAAACTCTATGAACCTGACTACATATCCTTAACTATAAACTCTATGACTGACTCTACACATCCTTAACTATAAACTCTATGATCCTGACTACACATCTTTAACTACAGACTCTATGATCCTGATCCTCTACACATCCTGACTACACATTACTATGATGCTGACTACACATCATTAACTATAAACTCTATGATCCTGACTCTACACATCCTTAACTATAAACTCTATGATCCTGACTACACATCCTTAACTATAAACTCTATGATCCTGACTACACATCCTTAACTATAAACTCTATGATCCTGACTACACATCCTTAACTATAAACTCTATGATCCTGACTACACATCCTTAACTATAAACTCTATGAACCTATCCTTCTATACACATCCTTAACTATAAACTCTATGATCCTACACATCCTTAACTATAAACTCTATGATCCTGACTCTACACATCCTTAACTATAAACTCTATGATCCTGACTACACATCCTTAACTATAAACTCTACGATCCTGACTCTACACATCCTTAACTATAAACTTTTATAATACTGACTCTACACATCCTTAACTATAAACTCTATGATCCTGACTACACATACTTAACTATGAACTCTGTGATCCTGACTACACATCCTTAACTATAAACTCTATGATCCTGACTACACATTCTTAACTATCAACTCTATGATCCTGACTACACAACCTTAACTATAAACTCTATGATCCTGACTACACAACCTTAACTATCAACTCTATGATCCTGACTACACAACCTTAACTATAAACTCTATGATCCTGACTACACATCCTTAACTATAAACTCTATGATCCTGACTCTACACATCCTTAACTATAAACTTTTATAATACTGACTCTACACATCCGTAACTATAAACTCTATTAACCTTAATCTTCATATCCTTAACTATAAACTCTATGATCCTGACTCTACACACATCCTTAACTATAAACTCTATGATCCTGACTACACATCCTTAACTATAAACTCTATGATCCTGACTTAATATACCTAACTATAAACTCTATGATCCTGACTACACATCCTTAACTATAAACTCTATGATCCTGACTACACATCCTTAACTATAAACTCTATGATCCAGACTACACATCCTTAACTATAAACTCTATGATCCTGACTACACATCCTTAACTATAAACTTGAACTACACATCCTTAACTATAAACTCTATGATCCTGACTCTACACATCCTTAACTATAAACTCTATGATCCTGACTACACATCCTTAACTATAAACTCTATGATCCTGACTACACATCCATAAACTCTATGATCCTGACTCTACACACATCCTTAACTATAAACTCTATGATCCTGACTACACATCCTTAACTATAAACTCTATGAACCTTACTCTACACATCCTTAACTATGAACTCTTATGATCCTGACTACACATCCTTAACTATGAACTCTGTGATCCTGACTACACATCCTTAACTATAAACTCTATGAACCTGACTACACATCCTTAACTATAAACTCTATGATCCTGACTACACATCCTTAACTATAAACTCTATGATCCTGACTACACATCCTTAACTATAAACTCTATGATCCTGACTATACACATCCTTAAATATAAACTCTATGATCCTGACTCTACACATCCTTAACTATAAACTCTATGATCCTGACTACACATCCTTAACTATAAACTCTATGATCCTGACTACACATCCTTAACTATAAACTCTATGATCCTGACTACACATCCTTAACTATAAACTCTATGATCCTGACTACACATCCTTAACTATAAACTCTATGATCCTGACTACACATCCTTAACTATAAACTCTATGATCCTGACTCTACACATCCTTAACTATAAACTCTATTAACCTTAATCTTCACATCCTTAACTATAAACTCTATGATCCTGACTACACATCCTTAACTATAAACTCTACACACATCCTTAACTATAAACTCTATGATCCAGACTACACATCCTTAACTATAAACTCTATGATCCTGAATCTACACACATCCTTAACTATAAACTCTATGATCCAGACTACACATCCTTAACTATAAACTCTATGATCCTGACTCTACACATCCTTAACTATATCCTTAACTATAAACTCTATGATCCTGACTACACATCCTTAACTATAAACTCTATGATCCTGACTACACATCCTTAACTATAAACTCTATGATCCTGACTACACATCCTTAACTATAAACTCTATGATCCTGACTCTACACATCCTTAACTATAAACTCTATGATCCTGACTACACATCCTTAACTATAAACTCTATGATCCTGACTACATATCATTAACTATAAACTCTATGATCCTGACTACACAACCTTAACTATAAACTCTACGATCCTGACCACACATCCTTAACTATAAACTCTATGAACCTGACTACACATCCTTAACTATAAACTCTGTGAACATTACTCTACACATCTTTAACTATGAACTCTCTGATCCTGACTACACATCCTTAATTATAAACTCTATGATCCTGAGTACACATCCTTAACTATAAACTCTATGATCCTGACTCTACACATCCTTAGCTATAAACTCTATGATCCTGACTACACATCTTAACTATAAACTCTATGATCCTTAGTACACATCCTTAACTATAAAGTCTATGATCCTGACTCTACTCATCCTTAACTATAAAATCTTATAATACTGACTCTACACATCCTTAACTATAACCTCTATGATCCTGACTCTACACATCTTTATGTTTATGGTTTCCTTACTTCCTGTTACATCCAGGGTAGTTTGACTGCTTTGACCTGTTCCAACAATGTTGGTGGCAAAACAAATATATGCTCCCTCATCTCCTGAATTAGCATTGTAAATGATTAAACTTGGGGAATTCACAGATGAGCCATCATAGTTGTTGCCGTCAGTAACAATATTAGAGGTGACACCGTTGGTGATTTTCTGCCAGAAGACAGAGTTGTGAGCTGGATCTGCAGTCACTGTACATTGTAGGGTAACCGTGGAGCCAGTTGTTACTGAGTATGTCGTCTGAGCAATTGTTACAACAGGAATACCTGAAATTCAACATCAGACAAATTTGTCAAATGTCCCAGAAATCATCAGTATCAATGAGGGCTCAATTTATAGGCAATATATTTTCAATCACTCTGCTGATTTCAATTTATTGATAATTTTCTCCAATAGAAAACGAGATCTGTCAGCATGATTAAATATATAAATATAGCATACCTAATGAAAAGTGTTGAGCCAAGAGTTTTTCTGGATTTCAAGGTGTAATTTTTACAGTTGAGTCTGTGACAGCAGATTTGCTTGATTTAAGCTGAAAGCTAAGTTAACCTAATAACATGAACAATACCACTACATAGTCTCAAATTTCATTCCAATATCCCTATTGAGCACAATGCTGTATTAATCATGTAGTGTTGGTAATTGGTGAATTTAAAAAAAACAGTTCACTATCTGATTCTATTTCAATTCCAATGATAATGTTTAGTACTCTGTAATATTTAGTGGGATTAGAGAGCTTGAAGACAATATCTAACACCAATGTTGATTATCATATATATTTAACATCTTTAATTGTATTTTGTTCTTTTATCAAAGCAAGCTAGTTTGAAGTTTTCAAGGCATTTCCAGGCTTCCTGATCAAAGTGGCAACCTGAACAAGTTAGATATGTTTAATTTCATGTCAGAATACAGAATTTATGTCCAGCCAAACTCAAGTGACTAGATCTAGTCTATGAAAGTGTGACATCAATATCAAATAAGTTCATATAAATCGTTGCAACACCTGTGAATAGTTCTTCCTGTGAGAAAATAGGTCCCCTTTTAATATCAACAGATATTTTCTAAATCAGCAACATTCACATATTTTTTTACAACTTCCACAATATGATAATTTAAATGTTTTTTAAATCATAGTTTATATACAATTTTTGAATCTTCTTTCCTGCAAATGTACTTTGATAGCTGTAATATGTGTATGGTTATAATTACTATGTTCATCTATAGGAGTTGTTTACATTGTATATACTAATGAGTTAAGGGGGATGTAAATTTTACCAATCAGAAGAAACCCTGAGGGATCCCTTGCTACAGTGTGTGCATCCCCTCAGTTTTTTATTTAAGGTGTGGGATTTCACACCTAGATTTTGCTTTTTCATTTACGTCAAATAATTTGGATTATCTCTTTGATAGATCTGCAAAGCACTTAACCATATATCCCATCATTGCATAATTTTTTTGTGTAGGCCCGTTTCGGCTCACAGACTTGGAGTTTAACGCGCATTCCTTTCTACCAGGCTAACCTAGTATCGCTGCCATTACTAAAGTTATGACAAACATCAGTCGTAGGTGATCTGAATGGCCTATATTGAGGATTACGTTGAATTTCGCCACCATACAACTTGATTGTGAATTATCTCACAGTTCATGTTTTTAAGTGTGTCGTTTTGTGTGAACATTGAAAGACTTTGCAGAGAGAGTGTGCTAACTACTCCTACGTCACCTCATTTAATTACATTGTAAGACAATCACTTAACAATGGGAACTAAACGCAAGACAGCAAGGCTTACACTTTACGATCCAGAAATTCTGCAGAACTGGACAATTTCCCGTTTGCAGGAAGAATAACGACGTCTGGATGTGTCTTTTAAAAGTTCGTCAAGGCGTATGGTGCTTGTAAAAAAGTTGTGGGAAGCGTGGAACGGTGTCACTGTCGCACACCAGTCTAGAGGTGAGGTATACCAAAATGCCACACGTTCAGACACAGGAACTTCCGCAAACATATCGAGTTCCGGTACAATGACTAACCAGCTAGTGGATATGGTTTAAAGTCTAGCAGAAAGCATTGCAAATCTGCAACAGTGCTATCAGAGACTTGAAAGCAGGTTGGAAATACACAATCACGCCTCGTCCCTCATGCCTTTTGCAAACCAGTGACCTATAGTCTGCACTCTTTGTGACAGTACTCTTCACACTTCTTCTTTTTGCCCGCTATGTGCCAAAGACTTACACAATCACAGATCAGCTAGCAAAGCAAATGGTGTCAACAAGTCGGAATCAAAATATAACGCCAATTCTAACGCAGAGAGCCATGGTCTTCCGCGAGTGTATCATGAAGGACGTGAAGTGTGTAATAACTTAAATGGCAATATGGGCTGCAAAATTTTCTCTTGCCCATATGTCACACCTATCTAAATTGCAAGGGCAACCACTCTCAATCAGCATGCCCTTTAGAGAGTATGCAGCCTCACAGCAAGAAAAACTAACATCGTTTCATACTACCACTACACTTATTAACACAATAGCTTTGAAACTTGAACTGGAGCATCATCCTGATAAAAGCTTCATCAACCACCTATTACAAGGCCTAACCTTGGGTTTTGAAACTGGGCTTCAATCTTTATCCGTTAATTCTATGGAGTGCAAAAATCTAAGGTCAGCTTCCCAGGATCCAACTAGTGTGGCAGGTTTAGTGCAAAAGGAGGTAGAGAAAGGATATTTACTAGGATCTTTCCACAGAATTCCCTTCCATAATTTCCGTATTAACCCAACTGGCCTTGCTGAACATAAGTACTCAAAGAAGAAACATTTAATTGTAGATATGTCAGCACCACACAGTGACTAGAATAGCCCTAGCTTGAATAGCCTATTTGACAAGGCTACTTCTTCCTTAAAGTATATCACCATAGATGATGCCATTTCTATCATTAAAAAGCTCGGTCTCCATGCTTGGTTGATGAAAACTGACATCACAGATGCCTTTAAACTCCTTCCTATTAAGGAAGAATTATGGCCGTAACATGGTATCAAGTGGGAAGATAAGTATTATTTCTTTACTAGATAAGTGTTTGGGAGTCGTTCTAGTCCGAAACTCTTCAACAACCTCTCAAAGGCCGTGTGTTGGATCGCCACCAATAATTATGGCATTACTAACATCTTATACTTGCTTGACGATTTCCTGGTTATAGAACCAGCATCAACCAATGCTTCGGTTACTAGGGATTGATTTTTTAGTTTATTGCCTTAGAGTATTTAGGAGTCATTCTATATTCAAGCCGTATGGAATGTAGACTGAAAAAGTCTCGTGCATCATAACTGAGTTAGAGTCATTTTTTACCGGGAAGTCCTGTACCAAACGTGAATTACTCAGTTTGTTAGGGCACATGAATTTTGCTGGTCAATGTATTCGACCGGGTCATTCTTTCGTATCGCATTTAATATCACTTTCTACTACAGTACGAAAGCTTCATTATTATGTTAAACTGACAGAAGGATGTCTTTCGGACTTAACTTTGTGGGCAGTCTTCTTGCACAACTGGAGTGATGTTTCGTTCTTCTTGGATGATTGTGTTACCACTTCTGCGGACCTTCATCTATTCACTGATGCTACTAACACAGCTTTTGGGGCTATTTACCCGAATCAGTGGTTCCAGGGCACATTTCCAGCAGAGCTTTTGTCAGGTGAAACGTCCATAGCACTTTTCGAGTTATATCCTATTGTCATGGCCTGTGTTTTGTGGGGCCATTTTTGGAGCCGGAAACGTATTCTTTTTCACGGTGATGACTTAGCTACTGTGGAAATCATTAACGGAGGCCAATCTAAAGTGAAAGCTATAATGAGATAGATGCACACCTTGACCATGTAATCCAGGCCTTGGGCAGATGGTCATCCGATTGTTTCAATAGATATATTAGAATTAGCCCCATGTCGATCCAGAAAACTCAAAAGGATATGACTTCCATTCGTAGTTCAGGTGTTTTCATCCAGTAGTTGGTTACTTTCTGGTGTTAGTTTTAGCCCTAATAGTTAAGAGTCTGGTTTTGTTATCTGCGTATAATTATTTTCTTTTATTTTTCTACATCCATATATGTATTTTACCTACTTCAGTTATGTTTTGTTAGCTTCAATGTATACTATACAGTACAATGTAAACTTAACATTACACAGCTAATCATGTCATTGATTTCTAATCGATATCTACTATCATTCATTGGGGGCACTCACTCTCATGTGTAACATAATCTTTCCTTATGGATATTAAATTCTCATAATAATAGTCTTTTACAGATATGACTCAGCTTCTCTCATATCACTGAGGGCCTAGTGGGACATATTCAGCTTCTCTAAGATAATTGAAGGCTTAGCTAGTACAAGAGTATCGTCTATTCGTTAACAGGATATTCTCAAGTTCACAAGTATGTTACAAAGCTTCTCTCAATCATTGAGGGCCTAGCCAGACATTCTCAGCTTCTATCATATCTTTGAGGGCCTAGCTGGTGCATGAGTATAACCTATATTCATTTATCCCGGCTTTCCTACTTTCATTGAGAAGCTTCTTCAGTTTTATTGAATTTTTGAATTTATACAGTGAGATTGTAGTGTAGAGTGAGTAGCTCCTAATATGCCAATATTATCTGTATTCTTTGCATTAGTGGTAAATAAACTATGTACTGTACTCTGTAACGTGTGTTAATTTATATAAAATCAAGTATTAGTTTGTCTCAGAGCATTTTGACAAGATGCTTTTCTTGAGTTCAAAAATTATTTGAAAATGACATTGGTCCCTGGTATGATCAAACAAACTGCTATTTTTATAGGTTTATTACAAGTAACTTACCCTCATGCAGGTTTCTTTCTCTCTTGGAAAAAAACCCTGCTAGTTTTTACAAATTCAGAGAATGTTATATGAAGCAGGAATTTAGGAAAAAGGCAACAACAACATATCTGTTTTGTACATCCTGAGATAACAAATTATTCACATTAGCATCCAAACCTACCAGTTGCTGGTACAAGAATTATACAGAAATGGTAATGTTGCTTGTAGATAATTACTTGCTACGTAGAAAACTACTTGTGGTCCATGTCTGAGTGAAAAATTGTTGATAAAATGTTATCATTCTACCCATGTTTAGTCATGACCAGATATTTCATTCAAAGAGGATATATAAATATATATATATAATCTATGCGTTTTGATGTCAAGAATATAATTTGTTGATCTATAAGCTCCAAAGCTTGGTACATGCTTTTGGCAAACTTTGGTTTCCATTAAACAAGACACCCAATAGCCCCGCATTGTTCACCTGATATTTAATGCTTTTTAATAGATAAATGTAGATGTCACATTATCATACATCCCAAAATGTCATTTTAAATCTTAATCAAATTTGACAAGTGTGACCTGCAATATGGATCAAGGTCATATATTTTGACAAACTTTGTCAGGCTTCATCCAAGTAGCCTTGCAGTCAAACATCCTGATTCTAAACATGTTTCTTCTGAAGACGTTGTTTGAAAGGAAAACTTGACATCAGTATACAACATTGTGGCATTTCTACATGACCACGTTTAGCAAGATTGGAAAAAAAGTTTTCTTTGTTATTTTCAAAGTTTCAATAACTCAATATACATCACACTTTTGATTTCAGTAATCATTCATACATTTATAGTTAATTTTCCTCATACCACCCTATCCTACTTAAAAGTTTGAAATGAAGTAAGAAATACAAAGACTTGTATAAATGGGTGTGGAAATTCGCAATACATGCCAACTGTAACTTACATGTAAGCATTATCAAAATTGTATTTAAACATATAGGTAAACATCACATCGAATAAACTTACTTCCAGTGACAGTTAGGGAAGTTGTGGTACTGGTTCCTGTACCAACAGCATTGGTAGCAGTACATGAATAAACAGCCTGGTCTGATGCAGCAGCATTTGTGATGGTCAGTGATGGTATGGTTGGGTTAGCTCCCTGATATTTACTTCCATCAATAGCAACGTTATTGGTTGTGGTACCTATTGTGCGCTGCCAAATAACCTGTGTGTGGGCCGGATCAGCATTCACAGTACATTCCAGTACCACTGTCTGTCCTGTAATGACTGTATAAGTGGGCTGGGCAACAGTTACCACTGGGAGGCCTGAAATAGATAAAACACAATATCAGTCTGCTCAAGTCACATAGTCAATTTTCAAGTATCAACTGGAATGACTTCTATATGGGCCTTACTTCCTGTCACTGTCAGTGTGGTTTGACCACTGGTTCCAGTTCCTACAGCATTTGTGGCTGAACAGGTGTATATGGCGTTGTCACTGGCCGCAGCATTGAAGATGGTCAGGGATGGAGTATTGACCGTGGATCCAGAGTATTTGCCGGTGCCAGTGGTTAATGTGGAAGGCACACCATTGACTATACGCTGCCAGAAAACATTGTTATGTGAAGGTGAGGCAGTCACTGTACATCCCAGTGTGACCGTTTGTCCTGTCACAACGGAGTAGCTGGTCTGGGCTATAGTGACGATTGGCAAACCTGACAACAAAAGTGATCGGTTGGTGATAATCCCTAATACTTTCAGAACCATTCTATTGAAGATATATTAGATGAAAATTAGAATCTGAAAATGTGTACCTTCATGATGGATTTCTGAAAAAAATCTTTATAGGTGTATGGTATTAAGTATTGGTTTAATGACAGGTTCACTTGTCTATGTATTCATTGTGATAACTTTCCTCTCAATACAATTAAGTCAATAGCCTAAGTCCATAATTGACACGAAAGTGTGTTCAACTACAGATCATTAACAATGGTTTTTCCCCTTAACAAAAAGCAAGAGATCCCAGAGGGATCTTGGCGCCTACCATTTGATGATCTGTTTTCAGTTCTTGAAGATTTGTTTATTGTTTTTTGTTTGTTACAGGTGTTGTAAATGTTCATGAACTGGTCTTCATTGAATGTACTCAATGATGGCACAAGATATTTTTATTAAGTACCTATTAGCAAATATCATTTAAAAAAGATCCCAAAGTATTATTAGGTAGCAGTCAGTTACAGGTGGATAATGGACGATATGCTTGTGCTGTATTACTGTCGACATCCATGATAGCTGCCTGTGGGCCACCTTGATTTCAAATCAGTCCAAAAAAGGTACAATGCACAACCAGGGACCAAGGGAAACCAATATCTATGAAATATCAGAAGGATCCATCCAGTACTTCCTCAGATATAGCAGTAACAAGATTTTACTCTCAAAATCCAAGATGGCTGCCTGTCTGCCATCTTGATTTCGGATCAGTCCAAAAAGGTATAATGCACAACTTGGAACCAAAGGGAACCTGCATATGAAATTTGAGAATGATCCACCCCGTACTTTCCAAGAAATAGCAGTAACAAACTTTTACATTCAAAATCCAAGATGGCCACCTGTCTGCCATCTTGAATTCGAATCAGTCCAAAAAAGGTACAATGCACAACTAAGGACCAAGGGGAAACTGCATATGAAATTTGAGAAAGATCCATCCAGTACTTTCCAAGAAATAGCAGTAACAAACTTTTACTTCCAAAATCAAAGATGGCTGCCTGTAGGCCATCTTGAATTCGAATCAGTCCAAAACAGGTACAATGCACAACTAGGGACCAAGGGGAAACTGCATATGAAATTTGAGGATGATCCATCCAGTACTTTCTCAGAAATAGCGGTAACAAACTTTTCTTCCAAAATCCAACATGGCCACCTGTCGGCCATTTTGAAAGCGAATCAGTTCAATAAAGGTACAATGCACAACTAGGGACCAAGGGGAACCTGCATATGAAATTTGAGAAAGATTCATCCAGTACTTTTCCAGAAATAGCAGCAACAAGAATTGTTTACGGACGGACGACGGACCACGGACGCAGGGCGATTTGAATAACCCACCATCTATTAAAAAACGATTGAAAGCAAGACATTTTACCAAGTTATTACCAAAACATGTGCATTTCTTTTGTTTGTGAAAGTATCTTTGAGATCAGCTCTAAATACAGGAATGACACACCAACAAATTTAGAATGGTACATTGTTATTGTTTCAATTGTGATACAAATTTAAATAAAATTGGGAAAAGTTACATGTATAACCTGTTATATAAACAAAGTTACAAATAGCCAATGAATAGTGACCAGTTCACAACATACACATATATATTTATGACTGTAAATATTGGAATATTAATCAACATAACACTTAATGAAATATCAGGATCATTAATGTATTATCAGGGACATACAAAGGTAGGGGAGAGGATCATTAATGTATCATCAGGGACATACAAAGGTAGGAGACAGGATCATTAATGTATCATCAGGGACATACAAAGGTAGATGACAGGATCATTAATGTATCACCAGGGACATACAAAGGTAGGAGACAGGATCATTAATGTATCACCAGGGACATACAAAGGTAGGGGACAGGATCATTAATGTATCATCAAGGACATACAAAGGTAGGAGACAGGATCATTAATGTATCATCAGGGACATACAAAGATAGGAGACAGGACCATTAAAGTATCATCAGGGGCATACAAAGGTAGGATACAGGACCATTAAAGTATCATCAGGGGCATACAAAGGTAGGAGACAGGATCATTAATGTATCATTAGTGACATACATACATGTACATAGGATACAGGATCATTAATGTAACATTGTGGATGTACATAAGGAAAGAAACAGTATCACTCATACAAAAACAGGTGACATGATCATTAATGCTCCAAAGCTTGGTACATGCTTTTGGCAAACTTTGGTTTCCATTAAACAAGACACCCAATAGCCCCGCATTGTTCACCTGATATTTAATGCTTTTTAATAGATAAATGTAGATGTCACATTATCATACATCCCAAAATGTCATTTTAAATCTTAATCAAATTTGACAAGTGTGACCTGCAACATGGATCAAGGTCATATATTTTGACAAACTTTGTCAGGCTTCATCCAAGTAGCCTTGCAGTCAAACATCCTGATTCTAAACATGTTTCTTCTGAAGACGTTGTTTGAAAGGAAAACTTGACATCAGTATACAACATTGTGGCATTTCTACATGACCACGTTTAGCAAGTTTGGAAAAAAGGTTTTCTTTGGTATTTTCAAAGTTTCAATAACTCAATATATATCACACTTTTGATTTCAGTAATCATTCATACATTTATAGTTAACTCTCCTCATACCACCCTATCCTACTTAAAAGTTTGAAATGAAGTAACAAATACAAAGAAATGTATAAATGGGTGTGGAAATTCGCAATGCATGCCAATTGTAACTTACATGTAAGCATTATCAAAATTGTATTTAAACATATAGGTAAACATCACATCGAATAAACTTACTTCCAGTGACAGTTAGGGAAGTTGTGGTACTGGTTCCTGTACCAACAGCATTGGTAGCAGTACATGAATAAACAGCCTGGTCTGATGCAGCAGCATTTGTGATGGTCAGCGATGGTGTGGTTGGGTTAGCTCCCTGATATTTACTTCCATCAATAGCAACATTATTGGTTGTGGTACCTATTGTACGCTGCCAAATAACCTGTGTGTGGGCCGGATCAGCATTCACAGTACATTCCAGTACCACTGTCTGTCCTGTAATGACTGTATAAGTGGGCTGGGCAACAGTTACCACTGGGAGGCCTGAAATAGATAAAACACAATATCAGTCTGCTCAAGTCACATAGTCAATTTTCAAGTATCAACTGGAATGACTTCTATATGGGCCTTACTTCCTGTCACTGTCAGTGTGGTTTGACCACTGGTTCCAGTTCCTACAGCATTTGTGGCTGAACAGGTGTATATGGCGTTGTCACTGGCCGCAGCATTGAAGATGGTCAGGGATGGAGTATTGACCGTGGATCCAGAGTATTTGCCGGTGCCAGTGGTTAATGTGGAAGGCACACCATTGACTATACGCTGCCAGAAAACATTGTTATGTGAAGGTGTGGCAGTCACTGTACATCCCAGTGTGACCGTTTGTCCTGTCACAACGGAGTAGCTGGTCTGGGCTATAGTGACGATTGGCAAACCTGACAACAAAAGTGATCGGTTGGTGATAATCCCTAATACTTTCAGAACCATTCTATTGAAGACATATTAGATGAAAATTAGAATCTGAAAATGTGTACCTTCATGATGGATTTCTGAAAAAAAATCTTTATAGGTGTATGGTATTAAGTATTGGTTTAATGACAGGTTCACTTGTCTATGTAGTAATTGTGATAACTTTCCTCTCAATACAATTAAGTCAATAGTCTAAGTCCATAACTGACACGAAAGTGTGTTCAACTACAGATCATTAACAATGGTTTTTCCCCTTAACAAAAAGCAAGAGATCCCAGAGGGATCTTGGCGCCTACCATTTGATGATCTGTTTTCAGTTCTTGAAGACTTGTTTATTGTTTTTTGTTTGTTATAGGTGTTGTAAATGTTCATGAACTGGTCTTCATTGAATGTACTCAATGATGGCACAAGATATTTTTATTAAGCACCTATTAGCAAATATCATTTAAAAAAGATCCCAAAGTATTATTAGATAGCAGTCAGTTACAGGTGGATAATGGACGATATGCTTGTGCTGTATTACTGTCGACATCCAAGATAGTTGCCTGTGGGCCACCTTGATTTCAAATCAGTCCAAAAAAGGTACAATGCACAACTAGGGACCAAGGGAAACCAATATCTATGAAATATCAGAAGGATCCATCCAGTACTTCCTCAGATATAGCAGTAACAAGATTTTACTCTCAAAATCCAAGATGGCTGCCTGTCTGCCATCTTGATTTTGGATCAGTCCAAAAAGGTATAATGCACAACTTGGAACCAAAGGGAACCTGCATATGAAATTTGAGAATGATCCATCCAGTACTTTCTCAGAAACAGCGGTAACAAACTTTTACTTCCAAAATCCAACATGGCCACCTGTCGGCCATTTTGAAAGCGAATCAGTTCAAAAAAGGTACAATGCACAACTAGGGACCAAGGGGAACCTGCATATGAAATTTGAGAAAGATTCATCCAGTACTTTTCCAGAAATAGCAGCAACAAGAATTGTTTACGGACGGACGACGGACCACGGACGCAGGGCGATTTGAATAACCCACCATCTAATAGATGGTGGGCTAAAAAAAAAACGATTGAAAGCAAGACATTTTACCAAGTTATTACCAAAACATGTGCATTTCTTTTGTTTGTGAACGTGTCTTTGAGATCAGCTCTAAATACAGGAATGACACACCAACAAATTTAGAATGGTACAGTGTTATTGTTTCAATTGTGATACAAATTTAAATAGAATTGGGAAAAGTTACATGTATAACCTGTTATATAAACAAAGTTACAAATAGCCAATGAATATTGACCAGTTCACAATATACAGATATATATTTCTAACTGTAAATATTGGAAATATCAGGATCATTAATGTATTATCAGGGACATACAAAGGTAGGGGAGAGGATCATTAATGTATCATCAGGGACATACAAAGGTAGGAGACAGGATCATTAATGTATCATCAGGGACATACAAAGGTAGATGACAGGATCATTAATGTATCATCAGGGACATACAAAGGTAGGAGACAGGATCATTAATGTATCACCAGGGACATACAAAGGTAGGAGACAGGATCATTAATGTATCACCAGGGACATACAAAGGTAGGGGACAGGATCATTAATGTATCATCAGGGACATACAAAGGTAGGAGACAGGATCATTAATGTATCATCAGGGACATACAAAGGTAGATGACAGGATCATTAATGTATCGCCAGGGACATACAAAGGTAGGAGACAGGATCATTAATGTATCATCAGGGACATACAAATGTATGGGACAGGATCATTAATGTATCATCAGGGACATACAAAGGTAGGGGACAGGGTCATTAATGTATCATCAGTGACATACAAAGATAGGAGACAGGATCATTAATGTATCATTGGGGACATACAAAGGTAGATGACAGGATCATTAATGTATCGCCAGGGACATAAAAAGGTAGGAGATAGGATCATTAATGTATCATAAGGGACATACAAAGGTAGGAGACAGAATCATTAATGTATCATCAGGGACATACAAAGGTAGGGGACATGATCATTAATGTATCATCAGGGACATACAAATGTATGGGACAGGATCACTAATGTATCATCAGGGACATACAAAGGTAGGGGACAGGGTCATTAATGTATCATCAGTGACATACAAAGATAGGAGACAGGATCATTAATGTATCATCAGGGACATACAAAGGCAGGATACAGGATCATTAATGTATCGCCAGGGACATAAAAAGGTAGGAGATAGGATCATTAATGTATCATCAGGGACATACAAAGGTAGGAGACAGAATCATTAATGTATCATCAGGGACATACAAAGGTATGGGACAGGATCATTAACGTATTATCAGGGACATACAAAGGTAGGGGACAGGGTCATTAATGTATCATCAGTGACATACAAAGATAGAAGACAGGATCATTAATGTATCGCCAGGGACATAAAAAGGTAGGAGATAGGATCATTAATGTATCATAAGGGACATACAAAGGTAGGAGACAGAATCATTAATGTATCATCAGGGACATACAAAGGTAGGGGACAGGATCATTAATGTATCATTAGGGACATACATACATGTACATAGGATACAGGATCATTAATGTAACATTGTGGACGTACATAAGGAAAGAAACAGTATCACTCATACAAAAACAGGTGACATGATCATTAATGCTCCAAAGCTTGGTACATGCTCTTGACAAACTTTGGTTTCAATTAAACAAGTCACCCAATAGCCCCGCATTGTTCACCTGATATTTAATGCTTTTCAATAGATGTATGTAGATGTCACATTATTATACATCCCAAAATGTCATTTTAAATCTTAATCAAATTTGACAAGTGTGACCTGCAATATAGATCAAGGTCATATCTTTTGACAAACTTAGTCAGGCTTCATCCAAATAGCCTTGCAGTCAAACATCCTGATTCTAAACATGTTTCTTCTGAAGACGTTGTTGTAAAGGAAAACTTGACATCAGTATACAACATTGTGGCATTTCTACATGACCACGTTTAGCAAGTTTGTAAAAGAAGTTTTCTTCGTTATTTTCAAAGTTTCAATAACTCAATATATATCACACTTTTGATTTCAGTAATCGTTCATACATTTATAGTTAACTCTCTTCATACCACATTATCCTACTTAAAAGTTTGAAATGAAGTAAGAAATACAAAGAAATGCATAAATGTTTGTGAAAATTAGCAATGCATGCCAACTGTAACTTACTTCCAGTGACGGTTAGAGAAGTTGTGGTACTGGTTCCTGTACCAACAGCATTGGTAGCAGTACATGAATAAACAGCCTGGTCTGATGCAGCAGCATTTGTGATGGTCAGCGATGGTGTGGTTGGGTTAGCTCCCTGATATTTACTTCCATCAATAGCAACATTATTGGTTGTGGTACCTATTGTACGCCGCCAGATAACCTGTGTGTGAGCCGGATCAGCATTCACAGTACATTCCAGTACCACTGTCTGTCCTGTAATGACTGTATAAGTGGGCTGGGCAACAGTTACCACTGGGAGGCCTGAAATAGATAAAACACAATATCAGTCTGCTCAAGTCACATAGTCAATTTTCAAGTATCAACTGGAATGACTTCTATATGGGCCTTACTTCCTGTCACTGTCAGTGTGGTTTGACCACTGGTTCCAGTTCCTACAGCATTTGTGGCTGAACAGGTGTATATGGCGTTGTCACTGGCCGCAGCATTGAAGATGGTCAGGGATGGAGTATTGACCGTGGATCCAGAGTATTTGCCGGTGCCAGTGGTTAATGTGGAAGGCACACCATTGACTATACGCTGCCAGAAAACATTGTTATGTGAAGGTGTGGCAGTCACTGTACATCCCAGTGTGACCGTTTGTCCTGTCACAACGGAGTAGCTGGTCTGGGCTATAGTGACGATTGGCAAACCTGACAACAAAAGTGATCGGTTGGTGATAATCCCTAATACTTTCAGAACCATTCTATTGAAGATATATTAGATGAAAATTAGAATCTGAAAATGTGTACCTTCATGATGGATTTCTGAAAAAAAATCTTTATAGGTGTATGGTATTAAGTATTGGTTTAATGACAGGTTCACTTGTCTATGTATTCATTGTGATAACTTTCCTCTCAATACAAATAAGTCAATAGCCTAAGTCGATAACTGACACGAAAGTGTGTTCAACTACTGCTCATTAACAATGGTTTTTTCCCCTTAACAAAAAAAAAAAAAAAAAAAACGATTGAAAGCAAGACATTTTACCAAGTTATTACCAAAACATGTGCATTTCTTTTGTTTGTGAAAGTGTCTTTGAGATCAGATCTAAATACAGGAATGACACACCAACAAATTAAGAATGGTACGTTGTTATTGTTTCAATTGTGATACAAATTTAAATAAAATTGGGAAAAGTTACATGTATAACCTGTTATATAAACAAAGTTACAAATAGCCAATGAATATTGACCAGTTCACAACATACAGATATATATTTCTAACTTTAAATATTGAAATATTCATCAACATAACACTTAATGAAATATCAGGATCATTAATGTATCACTGAAGATTGGGTTTTAATTCAGCTACATCAATATACGTGACACTTGTAAAATCTGCATTGATCTCATACCAACTCCGGATTCTAAAGTTAAATAAATATTTTACTACAAACCAATACTATTCTAAATGAGCATAACACTACTGAATACAACATGGATTATGCATTACATAGAAGATAGACAACACATTATGAAAAAAATACAGCTTGCCTATTCAATAACATCTAGGATCATGAATTATTTTTCACATTATCTGTTTTTACCAGCCATTCAATATTAAGGCTTTATTCTGTATATAAACTCATAATTTTAGCTCAATCCCACAAAGAATTAATATTGCTCAAAATGTTGTTGTTAATCTCAATGTAAGTATTTTCTTAATTATAGTTGAAATGATTTACAAAAAAGTTTTTATATGAAGCCGTTGTGCGAGATTCATAGGATTGATGTGTGAGAAGGTCACTTACAATTATATTGACCATAATAACATTCAGAAAATACTCCATAGTTGGTGTTCCAAACGTTTGAATAGGCAGCCATAGCAAAGGCTTTCAAGAATATTTATGATTATATTCCACACATGCATCCTAATCAAAAAGCCGAGTGTCAGTTTGTCACATGTCAACCTATCTGTGAAATGCAATCAGATAAAACATTTGTCAACTAATGACATGTGACAAACAGACATTTACACCAGTGTCCATGTGTCAAAATTGTCGACAATTCACTCCAATTAATCTAAATTATTTACAATTGCTATGTTTTCCCCCTAATAATTCGATAAAGAATATCGACTGTGTTGATACTCTAATAAATTTAGTTCAGAACATGCTTGACGATGACGTAACAATATTGGCGTAGGAATACATTTACACACAAGTCAAAGGTTGCGGCCCATTCATGTTTACCAACAAACACCACGTGTTGCTAGCATCGACCAATCAAGACTTTTAAATAAACGGTGATTAAATTTCATAAAATATTGGTTTTGTAATTTATTTTTGAAAAGTTCTTAAAAGATCTCCAACACCATAAAAATAAATGTGCAATCATCGTCAGGAATGCTCACAAAGTGCAGGTTTGAAAATTGAACGTTAAACATTAACATGTAACGTGTTTGGTTTCACTTCCCGTCTCGTTGGCCAAGCTGCATCACGACTGACTTCCGTGTCTGCGTCTCGATGAATGTTGTGTTGCGATAGTAATTATTGAACATGATTATGTTTAATTTTAAATAAAAGTTCTGTAGATAAAATTACTACACTCAAACTATTCCATTTTTATGACCGATTTCCTTCAGAAGACACGAATAAAATAGTTGAAATCGACGAACTATTTGTTTGGTTTCCAAGGAGAAAAAAGTGAGCGGTGTCTAGCTGTCTTGGCAGCAGTTCCCGGAATTCAACGGAATGGAACGTCACGTTCACTTTCGTATTTAATTACTTGGAAATGGCGAAACTGAAAGTGTTTTACTGGATTATTTTTTAAAGTAAAAATTGTAAATAAAAGGATTATATTTTATCTTTTCTTTATTTATGAGGTAATAAATTCGCGTTTATGTGTAAATTTACCGCGCGCTCTACTGGATTTATTACTCAATAAACAAAGAAAAAATAAAAGATAATCCTGAAATGGTAAAAGACTGGCAGGTTATCAATTTAGCATTTAGTTTAGTGAATTGATGAACACTGGTATAAGATGTCTTTATAAGAAGATATAAGAAAAAGCAAAAAAGCAGAGCAGTCTTACTTCCTGTTACATTAAGCGTGGTTTGGCTACTACTGGCAGTTCCCACAGGGTTAGTGGCAAAACATGTGTACAACGCTATGTCATCACTATTGGCATTGCTGATGGTCAGAGACGGATTGCTAACAGTTGATCCACTGTATTTGACACCGTCTATGCTAAGCGTGGTTTCTACATTTGAATCTAGCCGGCGCCAAAACACTGCTGTATGAGATGGATCAGCAGAAACTGTACACTCCAGGGTGGCTGTCTGACCAGTGTAAATTGTGTAAGAAGGTTCCACAATTTTTACTACAGGGAGACCTAGCAATAAACACATGTAAATAAAAGAACTACTCTAGTCATGCAGTTAATGTTAGAAAAAAAACATAAAATCATGAGACATCTCTTAATAATTATCTGAAAATTCTCCATTTCTGAAAATTCAAAACAATCATTAAACCGTATACCCTTCATATCTGAACTTTGAACTGATGGAAATAAACTTTTTCCTGTCATAGAAATGGTCAGAGATAAACAAAATGGTGACTATTTGACTGAATCACTAGTACTGTCCTTCAAATTGAGGAAAGTTCAGATGGAGTACAACAATAAACAAATCTATCAAAAAATATAAATGACTACATAGATCAGAGAAGACAGAACTAAAAACATGCATGAACAACCTTGTACATAATCCAGTTTGTGTTAGTACTACAAAAAGCTTCTACGCGTTGCTAATATGATACACTTCCGTAATTCCATACATCATATCACTGCGAGTGTGGTTTGACCACTGGTTCCAGTTAATACAGTATTTGAGTAGTATGTAGCATGTGTAAAACTATTATTGACTTGAAGTGTGCAAGTCTTATTAAACATGCACTCGTCATCACAGACAGCTCTGGATATTGTGACTTTTGGGCCAAGTTATCACACTACGATGTTGGTGGCAGAACAAGTATAAGTGGCATCATCAGTGGCAGCGGCGTTTGTAATCGTTAGGTCAGAATTGCTTATTGTAGAGCCTTGGTATTTGCTGCCGTCAATAGTAAGAGTACTGGTAACTCCATTAAGTGTGCGTTGCCAAAACACAGATGTGTGAGTGGGGTCTGCTGTAACTGTACAACCAAGTGTGATTGTCTGTCCAGTAACTACAGAGTACTGGGCCTGGTCTACCTGTACCACAGGGATACCTTAAATAAAGTATGATGGATCCAATATAAACTCTGTTACTTGTAATAAGCTGTGAAACAATGTGACATCAACATTAAATGTCCTTGTGGTACTCCTGATGGTGTTGTGTAGGGATTGTCTTGTCTTTACCAAAATACATACACTATCACAATCTCATGTGTTGGATGCCAATTAATGTACTGCAGTTTGATGGCGACAAGTTGATATCAACTGATTACAACTGAAATTATATTGTCTGTAAAAACTTTCCTCCTAATTAGTGAGTGAAGCGAATGAATATTTCAACATCAATAGTCACTTCAAATAATTTAGTATATCGATATTGATGGAACTAGGCATATTTAAATATGAAAACAATGGACAGGTTCCACCCGATGAAATTTGTCAAAAAGACATAATGGTAAAATCCAAAAAGGAATTGACAGGAAAAGATAGAACATCATTCATATCACTAACAATACACAAGAAAAACATTTGGTACAAAGGTAATGACATTCCACATGGAAAACCATGCTGTATACATTGCAGATGCATGCTTAGAAAATTTGGAAAAACAAAGGACAATAACTCCTCCTCTTACAATTGATGAATCTTGATGTCAATTAGTAATTAAAACAGTTTTATATAGTAGTTTGTATTAATCCTATCAAGTTTCAAAGGAATTGAAGACGAGGAAGATCTACAAACCAGAATAAAATGCTGAAGAATGAAACGGCTTTTCTGGAAAAAAAACTTCACTTCATATTTATGCAACCAGCCAATTCAGATTTTGGTTGAAAAGTAAGAATATTTCTGAATAAGGTAAAGATTATGAAAAATCAAGGGGCAATCAATTATCCAGAAAGAGCATACGGCCATCCAGGAAAATGTACCTTCTGTCATGACAATTAATACCCAGTATACTGTGTACTAAGTTTGAAAGAGATTGGATTAGGAATATGAAAGGACATCAATGGGCAGATAGAAAACACAGACAGACATCATACCATCATTTTCAGTAAACAAGTTGATGGTATAGTGAAAGTAGTCTTACTTCCTGTTACTGCAAGTGTGGTTTGACCACTGGTTCCAGTTCCTACAGCATTTGTGGCTGAACAGGTGTATATGACGCTATCACTGGCTGCAGCATTGGAGATGGTCAAGGATGGACTATTGACCGTGGATCCAAAGTATTTGCTATTGTCAATGGCTAATGTGGAAGCCACACCATTGACTATACGCTGCCAGAAAACATTGGTATGTGTAGGTGTGGCAGTAACTGTACATCCTAGTGTGACCGATTGTCCCGTGACAACTGAGTAGCTGGTCTGGGCGATGGTGACGATTGGCAAACCTAAATATGAAGTGCAAGACTGATGTAAATTGGATTCTGGTTGTCCTAATTGACAACTACAAACATCAAATTGGTGATGATATCAGAAACTAAAGATTAGTTGACTTAAACACATAAAACACCATTTACTTCGAGATTATTACGAAACCGAAAACATTTTGCGGCAATAAAGTTAGATTTTGGTTATACCGTATTCAAAATCATATTTCTTTGTTTAGTCCTTCAAAGCAATAAAGCGTGGCAAAAGGAAAAGGAAGCATCATCTCCCCATGGATGTGTTCACACATATACTACTACACAGACTAACAGAAAAATATATAACAACTCACGGTTTCCCTGACAAAACGGAAACAAATTTCACATACTTCCTGTGACATCTAGTAATGTGGTAGTACTAGTTCCGGTTCCTACGATGTTGGTGGCAGAACAAGTATAAGTGGCATCATCAGTGGCAGCGGCGTTTGTAATCGTTAGGTCAGAATTGCTTATTGTAGAGCCTTGGTATTTGCTGCCGTCAATAGTAAGAGTACTGGTAACTCCATTAAGTGTGCGTTGCCAAAACACAGATGTGTGAGTGGGGTCTGCTGTAACTGTACAACCAAGTGTGATTGTCTGTCCAGTAACTACAGAGTACTGGGCCTGGTCTACCTGTACCACAGGGATACCTTAAATAAAGTATGATGGATCCAATATAAACTCTGTTACTTGTAATAAGCTGTGAAACAATGTGACATCAACATTAAATGTCCTTGTGGTACTCCTGATGGTGTTGTGTAGGGATTGTCTTGTCTTTACCAAAATACATACACTATCACAATCTCATGTGTTGGATGCCAATTAATGTACTGCAGTTTGATGGCGACAAGTTGATATCAACTGATTACAACTGAAATTATATTGTCTGTAAAAACTTTCCTCCTAATTAGTGAGTGAAGCGAATGAATATTTCAACATCAATAGTCACTTCAAATAATTTAGTATATCGATATTGATGGAACTAGGCATATTTAAATATGAAAACACTGGACAGGTTCCACCCGATGAAATTTGTCAAAAAGACATAATAGTAAAATCCAAAAAGGAATTGACAGGAAAAGATAGAACATCATTCATATCACTAACAATACACAAGAAAAACATTTGGTACAAAGGTAATGACATTCCACATGGAAAACCATGCTGTATACATTGCAGATGCATGCTTAGAAAATTTGGAAAAACAAAGGACAATAACTCCTCCTCTTACAATTGATGAATCTTGATGTCAATTAGTAATTAAAAACAGTTTTATATAGTAGTTTGTATTAATCCTATCAAGTTTCAAAGGAATTGAAGACGAGGAAGATCTACAAACCAGAATAAAATGCTGAAGAATGAAACTGCTTTTCTGGAAAAAAACTTCACTTCATATTTATGCAACCAGCCAATTCAGATTTTGGTTGAAAAGTAAGAATATTTCTGAATAAGGTAAAGATTATGAAAAATCAAGGGGCAATCAATTATCCAGAAAGAGCATACTGCCATCCAGGAAAATGTACCTTCTGTCATGACAATTAATACCCAGTATACTGTGTACTAAGTTTGAAAGAGATTGGATTAGGAATATGAAAGGACATCAATGGGCAGATAGAAAACACAGACAGACATCATACCATCATTTTCAGTAAACAAGTTGATGGTATAGTGAAAGTAGTCTTACTTCCTGTTACTGCAAGTGTGGTTTGACCACTGGTTCCAGTTCCTACAGCATTTGTGGCTGAACAGGTGTATATGACGCTATCACTGGCTGCAGCATTGGAGATGGTCAAGGATGGACTATTGACCGTGGATCCAAAGTATTTGCTATTGTCAATGGCTAATGTGGAAGCCACACCATTGACTATACGCTGCCAGAAAACATTGGTATGTGTAGGTGTGGCAGTAACTGTACATCCTAGTGTGACCGATTGTCCCGTGACAACTGAGTAGCTGGTCTGGGCGATGGTGACGATTGGCAAACCTAAATATGAAGTGCAAGACTGATGTAAATTGGATTCTGGTTGTCCTAATTGACAACTACAAACATCAAATTGGTGATGATATCAGAAACTAAAGATTAGTTGACTTAAACACATAAAACACCATTTACTTCGAGATTATTACGAAACCGAAAACATTTTGCGGCAATAAAGTTAGATTTTGGTTATACCGTATTCAAAATCATTGCCTCATCAATCAGGGTTTTCTGTGATCTCAGGGTTTTCTGTAATCTAGTTCATCAATCAGGGTTTTCTGTGATCTGCCTAATCAATCAGGGTTTTCTGTGATCTGTCTTATCAATCAGGGATTTCTGTAATCTAGTTGATCAATCAGGTTTTTCTTTCATCTGCCTCATCAATCAGGGTTTTCTGTGATCCAGTTCATCAATCAGGGTTTTCTGTAATCTAGTTCATCAATCAGGGTTTTCTGTAATCTGTTTTCTGTGATCTGCCTTCATCAATCAGGGTTATCAGGGTTTTCTGTAATCTTCCCCATCAATCGGGGTTTTCTGTGATCTAGTTCATCAATCAGGGTTTTCTTTGATCTGCCTCATCAATCAGGGTTTTCTGTAATCTTCCCCATCAATCAGGGTTTTCTGTGATCTAGTTCATCAATCAGAATTTTCCGTGATCTGCCTCATCAATCAGGGTTTTCTGTGATCTAGTTCATCAATCAGGGTTTTCTGTAATCTAGTTCATCAATCAGGGTTTTCTGTAATCTAGTTCATCAATCAGGGTTTTCTGTAATATAGTTCATCAATCAGGGTTTTCTGTGATCTAGTTCATCAATCACGGTTTTCTTTGATCTGCCTCATCAATCAGGGTTTTCTGTAATCTTCCCCATCAATCGGGGTTTTCTTTGATCTGCCTTATCAATCAGGATTTTCTGTGATCTGCCTCATCAATCAGGGTTTTCTTTGATCTGCCTTATCAATCAAGGTTTTCTGTGATCTGCCTCATCAATCAGGGGGTTTTCTGTGATCTGCCTCATCAATCAGGGTTTTCTGATGTTCATCTGTTTTCTCATCAATCAGGGTTATCAATCAGGGTCTTCTGTAATCTAGTTCATCAATCAGGGTTTTCTGTAATCTAGTTCATCAATCAGGGTTTTCTGTAATCTAGTTCATCAATCAGTTTTTTCTGTGATCTGCCCTATCAATCAGGGTTTTCTGTGATCTGCCTTATCAATCAGGGTTTTCTGTGATCTGCCTCATCAATCAGGGTTTTCTGTGATCTGCCTCATCAATCAGGGTTTTCTGTGATCTGCCTCATCAATCAGGGTTTTCTGTGATCTGCCTCATCAATCAGGGTTTTCTGTGATGTAGTTCATCAATCAGGGTTTTCTGTGATCTTGTTCATCAATCACGGTTTTCTTTGATCTTCCTCATCAATCAGGGTTTTCTGTAATCTTCCCCATCAATCGGGGTTTTCTGTGATCTAGTTCATCAATCAGGGTTTTCTGTGATCTAGTTCATCAATCAGGGTTTTCTTTGATCTGCCTTATCAATCAGGGTTTTGTGATCTATCTTCATCAATCAGGGTTTTCTGTGATCTGCCTCATCAATCAGGGTTTTTGCTGTGATCTCATCAATCAGGGTTTTCTGTGATCTGCCCTATCAATCAGGATTTTCTGTGATCTGCCTCATCAAACAGGGTTTTCTGTAATCTGCCTCATCATTCAGGGTTTTCTGTGATCTGCCTCATCAATCAGGGTTTTCTTTGATCTAGTTATCGATCAGGGTTTTTCTTGGTCTGCCTCATCAATTAAGGTTTTCTTTGATCTGACTCATCAATCAAGGTTTTCTGTGATCTGCCTCATCAATCAAGGTTTCCTGTGATCTGCCCTATCAATCAGGGTTTTCTGTGATCTGCCTCATCAAACAGGGTTTTCTGTAATCTGCCTCATCATTCAGGGTTTTCTGTGATCTGCCTCATCAATCAGGGTTTTCTGTGATCTAGTTCATCAATCAGGGTTTTCTTTGATCTGCCTCATCAATCAGGGTTTTCTGTAATATAGTTCATCAATCAGGGTTTTCTGTGATCTGCCCTATCAATCAGGGTTTTCTGTGATCTGCCTTATCAATCAGGGTTTTCTGTGATCTGCCTCATCAATCAGGGTTTTCTTTGATCTGCCTTGATCTGCCTCATCAATCAGGGTTTTCTGTGATCTGCCTCATCAATCAGGGTTTTCTGTAATCTAGTTCATCAATCAGGGTTTTCTGTAATATAGTTCATCAATCAGGGTTTTCTGTGATCTGCCCTATCAATCAGGGTTTTCATTGATCTGCCTCATCAATCAGGGTTTTCTGTGATGTAGTTCATCAATCAGGGTTTTCTGTGATCTTGTTCATCAATCAGGGTTTTCTGTGATCTGCCTCATCAATCAGGGTTTTCTGTGATCTGCCTCATCAATCAGGGTTTTCTGTGATCTGCCTCATCAATCAGGGTTTTCTGTGATCCAGTTCATCAATCAGGGTTTTCTGTAATCTAGTTCATCAATCAGGGTTTTCTGTAATCTAGTTCATCAATCAGTGTTTTCTGTGATCTGCCCTATCAATCAGGGTTTTCTGTGATCTGCCTTATCAATCAGGGTTTTCTGTGATCTGCCTTATCAATCAGGATTTTCTGTGATCTGCCTCATCAATCAGGGTTTTCTTTGATCTGCCTTATCAATCAGGGTTTTTTGTGATCTGCCTCATCAATCAAGGTTTTCTGTGATCTAGTTCATCAATCAGGGTTTTCTTTGATCTGCGTCATCAATCAGGGTTTTCTGTATTCTTCCCCATCAATCAAGGTTTTCTGTGATCTAGTTCATCAATCAGGGTTTTCTGTGATCTGCCCTATCAATCAGGGTTTTCTGTGATCTGCCTAATCAATCGGGGTTTTCTGTGATCTGCCTCATCAATCAAGGTTTCCTGTGATGTAGTTCATCAATCAGGGTTTTCTGTGATCTAGTTCATCAATCAGGGTTTTCTGTGATCTGCCTCATCATCAATCAATCAGGGTTTTCTGTGATCTGTTCATCAATCAGGGTTTTCTGTGATCTGCCTCATCAATCAGGGTTTTCTGATCTGATCTGTTTTCTTTGATCTGTTCATCAATCAGGGTTTTCTGTGATCTGCCTCATCAATCAGGGTTTTCTGTGATCTAGTTCATCAATCAGGGTTTTCTGTGATCTGCCTCATCAATCAGGGTTTTCTGTGATCTAGTTCATCAATCAGGGTTTTCTGTGATCTGCCTCATCAATCAGGGTTTTCTGTGATCTGCCTTATCAATCAGGGTTCTCTGTGATCTGCCTTATCAATCAGGGTTTTCTGTGATCTAGTTCATCAATCAGGGTCTTCTGTAATCTAGCTCAACAATCAGGGTTTTCTGTAAACTAGTTCATCAATCAGGGTTTTCTGTAATCTAGTTCATCAATCAGTGTTTTCTGTGATCTCAGGGTTTTCTGTGATCTCATCAATCAGGGTTTTCTGTGATCTGCCTCATCAATCAGGGTTTTCTGTGATCCAGTTCATCAATCAGGGTTTTCTGTGATCTGTTCATCAATCAGGGTTTTCTGTGATCTGCCTCATCAATCAATCAGGTTTTCATCAATCAGGGTTTTCTGTGATCTGTTCATCAATCAGGGTTTTCTGTGATCTGCCTCATCAATCAGGGTTTTCTGTGATCTGGCTCATCAATCAGGGTTTTCTGTGATCTGCCTCATCAATGGTTTTCTGCCTCATCAATCAGGGTTTTCTGTGATCTGTTCATCAATCAGGGTTTTCTGTGATCTGTTCATCAATCAGGGTTTTCTGTAAGGGTTTTCTGTGATCTAGTTCATCAATCAGGGTTTTCTGTGATCTGCCCTATCAATCAGGGTTTTCTGTGATCTGCCTTATCAATCAGGGTTTTCTGTGATCTGCCTCATCAATCAGGGTTTTCTGTGATCTGCCTCATCAATCAGGGTTTTCTGTGATCAATCAGGGTTTTCTGTGATCTGTTCATCAATCATCATCAATCAGGGTTTTCTTTGATCTGCTTCATCAATCAGGGTTTTCTGTAATCTTCCCCATCAATCAAGGTTTTCTTTGATCTGCCTCATCAATCAGGGTTTTCTGTGATCTGCCTCATCAATCAGGGTTTTCTGTGATCTAGTTCATCAATCAGGGTTTTCTGGTTCATCAATCAGGGTTTTCTTTGATCTGCCTCATCAATCACGGTTTTCTGTAATCTAGTTCATCAATCAGGGTTTTCTGTGATCTGCCCTATCAATCAGGGTTTTCTGTGATCTGCCTAATCAATCGGGGTTTTCTGTGATCTAGTTCATCAATCAGGGTTTTCTTTGATCTGCCTCATCAATCAGGGTTTTCTGTGATCTGCCCTATCAATCAGGGTTTTCTGTGATCTGCCTAATCAATCAGGGTTTTCTGTGATCTGTCTTATCAATCAGGGATTTCTGTAATCTGCCTTCATCAATCAGGGTTTTCTGTGATCTGCCTTCATCAATCAGGGTTTTCTGTGATCTAGTTTTCTCATCAATCAGGGTTTTCTGTGATCTGCCTTATCAATCAGGGTTTTCTGTGATCTGCATCATCAATCACGGTTTTCTGATCTGCGTCATCAATCAGGGTTTTCTGTGATCTGCCTCATCAATCAGGGTTTTCTGTAATCTGCCCAATCAATCGGGGTTTTCTGTGATCTAGTTCATCAATCAGGGTTTTCTGTGATCTGCCTATCAATCAGGGTTTTCATTGATCTGCCTGATCAATCAGGGTTTTCTGTGATCTGCCTATCAATCAGGGTTTTCTGTGATCTGCCTTGATCAATCAGGGTTTTCTGTGATCTGCCTCATCAATCAGGGTTTTCTGTGATCTGCCTCATCAATCAGGGTTTTCTGTGATCTGCCTCATCAATCAGGGTTTTCTGTGATCTAGTTCATCAATCAGGGTTTTCTGTGATCTGCCTCATCAATCAGGGTTTTCTGTAATCTAGTTCATCAATCAAGGTTTTCTGTGATCTAGTTCATCAATCAGGGTTTTCTGTGATCTGCCCTATCAATCAGGGTTTTCTGTGATCTGCCTAATCAATCGGGGTTTTCTGTGATCTAGTTCATCAATCAGGGTTTTCTTTGATCTGCCTCATCAATCAGGGTTTTCTGTAATCTTCCCCATCAATCAAGGTTTTCTGTGATCTAGTTCATCAATCAGGGTTTTCTGTGATCTGCCCTATCAATCAGGGTTTTCTGTGATCTGCCTTATCAATCAGGGTTTTCTGTGATCTGCCTCATCAATCAGGGTTTTCTGTAATCTAGTTCATCATGATCAATCAGGGTTTTCTGTGATCTGCCTCATCAATCAGGGTTTTCTGTGATCTGCCTCATCAATCAGGGATCTGCCTGCCTCATCAATCAGGGTTTTCTGTGATCTTCCTCATCAATCAGGGTTTTCTGTGATCTGCCTCATCAATCAGGGTTTTCTTTGATCTGCCTCATCAATCAGGGTTTTCTGTGATCTGCCTTATCAATCAGGGTTTTCTGTGATCTGCCTCATCAATCAGGGTTTTCTGTGATCTGCCTCATCAATCAGGGTTTTCTGTGATCTGCTGATCTAGTTCATCAATCAGGGTTTTCTGTGATCTGCCTCATCAATCAGGGTTTTCTGTGATCTGCCTTATCAATCAGGGTTTTCTGTGATCTGCCTTATCAATCAGGGTTTTCTGTGATCTGCCTCATCAATCAGGGTTTTCTTTGATCTGCCTTATCAATCAGGGTTTTCTGTGATCTAGTTCATCAATCAGGGTTTTCTGTGATCTGCCTCATCAATCAGGGTTTTCTGTAATCTAGTTCATCAATCAGGGTTTTCTGTAATCTAGTTCATCAATCAGGGTTTTCTGTGATCTGCCTCATCAATCAGGGTTTTCTGTGATCTGCCTAATCAATCAGGGTTTTCTGTGATCTGCCTTCATCAATCAGGGTTTTTTTCTCATCAATCTCCGTGATCTGCCTCATCAATCAGGGTTTTCTGTGATCCAGTTCATCAATCAGGGTTTTCTGTAATCTAGTTCATCAATCAGGGTTTTCTGTAATCTAGTTCATCAATCAGGGTTTTCTGTGATCTGCCTCATCAATCAATGTTTTCTGTGATCTGCCTCATCAATCAAGGTTTTCTGTGATCTTGTTCATCAATCACGGTTTTCTTTGATCTGCCTCATCAATCAGGGTTTTCTGTGATCTGCCTCATCAATCAGGGTTTTCTTTGATCTGCCTCATCAATCAGGGTTTTCTGTAATATAGTTCATCAATCAGGGTTTTCTGTGATGTAGTTCATCAATCAGGGTTTTCTGTGATCTTGTTCATCAATCAGGGTTTTCTGTGATCTAGTTCATCAATCAGGGTCTTCTGTAATCTAGTTCATCAGTCAGGTTTTTCTTTGATCTGCCTCATCAATCAGGGTTTTCTTTGATCTGCCTTATCAATCAGGGTTTTTTGTGATCTGCCTCATCAATCAAGGTTTTCTTTGATCTGCCTCATCAATCAAGGTTTTCTGTGATCTGCCTCATCAATCAGGGTTTTCTGTGATCTGCCTCATCAATCAGGGTTTTCTTTGATCTGCCTTAACAATCAGTGTTTTCTGTGATCTGTCTTATCAATCAGGGTTTTCTGTAATCTAGTTCATCAGTCAGGTTTTTCTTTGATCTGCCTCATCAATCAGGGTTTTCTGTGATCTAGTTCATCAATCAGAATTTTCCGTGATCTGCCTCATCAATCAGGGTTTTCTGTGATCTGCCTCATCAATCAGGATTTTCTTTGATCTGACTCATCAATCAAGGTTTTCTGTGATCTGCCTCATCAATCAAGGTTTTCTGTGATGTAGTTCATCAATCAGGGTTTTCTTTGATCTGCTTCATCAATCAGGGTTTTCTGTAATCTTCCCCATCAATCAAGGTTTTCTTTGATCTGCCTCATCAATCAGGGTTTTCTGTGATCTGCCTCATCAATCAGGGTTTTCTGTGATCTAGTTCATCAATCAGGGTTTTCTGATCTGCCTCATCAATCTAGTTCATCAATCAGGGTTTTCTGTGATCTGCCTCATCAATCAGGGTTTTCTGTGATCTGCCTCAAGTGTGATTGTCTGTCCAGTAACTACAGAGTACTGGGCCTGGTCTACCTGTACCACAGGGATACCTATAACAAAATGTCAAAGGTTACCATTGTGTTTAGGAAAACTTTGAACACACTTGACTCCACTTCCCTTTAGTTTATAACTGTAAATGTGTTGAGAATATAAACACATTTAGTTTGCAAGATAGATCATTGTTTTTCAAATCTGGAATATCCATGTTTGTTTCCACAACCTGTAAGATAACGCAACTAAAATGTTTACAAGAACAGGATTACAAATATAATTCTTTCCCAATATCAAACATAGTATATTGTTTACTCTTTAAGTTGATCAGCCAATATTCATTTCCGCACTTTTAAGATATTCAACTGACAGCATAAAATAGTAGGCTTTTCCTGTATCTGTCCTTATATTTTTCCATCAGTATCTCCCACAATATCCCTCTTACCAGTGTCTCCTACAATATCCCTCTTACCAGTGTCTCCCACAATATCCCTCTTACCAGTGTCTCCCACAATATCCCTTTTACCAGTGTCTCCCACAATATCCCTCTTACCAGTGTCTCCCACATCCTCCCTCTCACCAGTGTCTCCCACAACCTCCCTCTCACCAGTGTCTCCCACATCCTCCCTTTTACCAGTGTCTTCCACAATATCCCTCTTACCAGAATCTCCCACAATATCCCTCTTACCAGTGTCTCCCACAATATCCCTCTTACCAGTGTCTCCCACAATATCCCTCTTACCAGTAATTCCCACATACTCCCTCTTACCTGTGTCTCCCACATTCTCCCTCTCACCAGTATCCCCCACATCCTCCCACTTACCAGTATCTCTAACATCCTCGTGTCTACCACAATATCCTTCTTACCAGTGTTTTCTAACTCCTATTTGGAGATTAACAGATCCCTTTTTTCACTTCAAATTTGAGATTAACAGATCCCTTTTTTTAACTATTTGGAGATTAACAGTTCCCTTTTCTAACTCCTATTTGGAGATAAACAGATCCCTTTTCTCACTCATTTTAGGAGATTAACAGATCCCTTTTCTAACTCCTATTTAGAGATTAACAGATCCCTTTTCTAACTCCTATTTGGAGATTAACAGATCCCTTTTCTAACTCCTATTTAGAGATTTGCCTTACTTCCTGTCACTGTCATTGCAGTTTGAAGTAAGAAATACAAAGAAATGCATAAATGTTTGTGAAAATTAGCAATGCATGCCAACTGTAACTTACTTCCAGTGACGGTTAGAGAAGTTGTGGTACTGGTTCCTGTACCAACAGCATTGGTAGCAGTACATGAATAAACAGCCTGGTCTGATGCAGCAGCATTTGTGATGGTCAGCGATGGTGTGGTTGGGTTAGCTCCCTGATATTTACTTCCATCAATAGCAACATTATTGGTTGTGGTACCTATTGTACGCCGCCAGATAACCTGTGTGTGGGCCGGATCAGCATTCACAGTACATTCCAGTACCACTGTCTGTCCTGTAATGACTGTATACGTGGGCTGGGCAACAGTTACCACTGGGAGGCCTGAAATAGATAAAACACAATATCAGTCTGCTCAAGTCACATAGTCAATTTTCAAGTATCAACTGGAATGACTTCTATATGGGCCTTACTTCCTGTCACTGTCAGTGTGGTTTGACCACTGGTTCCAGTTCCTACAGCATTTGTGGCTGAACAGGTGTATATGGCGTTGTCACTGGCCGCAGCATTGAAGATGGTCAAGGATGGAGTATTGACCGTGGATCCAGAGTATTTGCCGGTGAGAGTGGTTAATGTGGAAGGCACACCATTAACTATACGCTGCCAGAAAACATTGTTATGTGAAGGTGTGGCGGTCACTGTACATCCCAGTGTGACCGTTTGTCCTGTCACAACGGAATAGCTGGTCTGGGCTATAGTGACGATTGGCAAACCTGACAACACAACAAAAGTGATCGGTTGGTGATAATCCCTGATACTTTCAGAACCATTCTATTGAAGATATATTAGATGCAAATTAGAATCTGAAAATGTGTACCTTCATGATGGATTTCTGAAAAAAATCTTTATAGGTGTATGGTATTAAGTATTGGTTTAATTACAGGTTCACTTGTCTATGTATTCATTGTGATAACTTTCCTCTCAATACAAATAAGTCAATAGCCTAAGTCGATAACTGATACGAAAGTGTGTTCAACTACTGCTCATTAACAATGGTTTTTTCCCCTTAAAAAAAAAAAACGATTGAAAGCAAGACTTTTTACCAAGTTATTACCAAAAACATGTGCATTTCTTTTGTTTGTGAAAGTGTCTTTGAGATCAGATCTAAATACAGGAATGACACACCAACAAATTAAGAATGGTACATTGTTATTGTTTCAATTGTGATACAACTTTGAATAAAATTGGGAAAAGTTACAGTATAACATGTTATATAAACAAAGTTACAAATAGCCAATGAATATTGACCAGTTCACAACATACAGAGATATATTTCTAACTGTGAATATTGGAATGTTCATCAACATAACACTTAATGAAATATCAGGATCATTAATGTATCATCATGGACATACAAAGGTAGGAGACAGGATCATTAATGTATCATCAGGGACATACAAAGGTAGGAGACAGGATCATTAATGTATCGTCAGGGACATACAAAGGTAGGAGACAGGATCATTACTGTATCATCAGGGACATACAAAGGTAGGAGACAGGGTCATTAATGTATCATCAGGGACACACATACATGTACATAGGATACAGGATCATTGATGTAACATTGTGGACATACGTAAGGAAAGAAACAGTATCACTTATACAGAGACAGGTGACAGGATCATTAATGCTCCAAAGCTTGGTACATGCTCTTGACAAACTTTGGTTTCCATTAAACAAGACACCCAATAGCCCAGCATTGTTCACCTGATATTTAATGCTTTTTAATAGATATGTGTAGATATCACATTATTATACACCCCAAAATATCATTTTAAATCTTAATCAAATTTGACAAGTGTGACCTGCAATATGGATCAAGGTCATATCTTTTGACAAACATTGTCAGGCTTCATCCAAATAGCCTTGCAGTCAAACATCCCGATTCTAAACATGTTTCTTCTGAAGACGTTGTTTTAAAGGAAAACTTGACATCAGTATACAACATTGTTGCATTTCTACATGACCACGTTTAGCAAGTTTGTAAAAGAAGTTTTCTTTGTTATTTTCAAAGTTTCAATAACTCAATATATATCATACTTTTGATTTCAGTAATCGTTCATACATTTATAGTTAACTCTCTTCATACCACATTATCCTACTTAAAAGTTTGAAATGAAGTAAGAAATACAAAGAAATGCATAAATGTTTGTGAAAATTAGCAATGCATGCCAACTGTAACTTACTTCCAGTGACGGTTAGAGAAGTTGTGGTACTGGTTCCTGTACCAACAGCATTGGTAGCAGTACATGAATAAACAGCCTGGTCTGATGCAGCAGCATTTGTGATGGTCAGCGATGGTGTGGTTGGGTTAGCTCCCTGATATTTACTTCCATCAATAGCAACATTATTGGTTGTGGTACCTATTGTACGCCGCCAGATAACCTGTGTGTGAGCCGGATCAGCATTCACAGTACATTCCAGTACCACTGTCTGTCCTGTAATGACTGTATACGTGGGCTGGGCAACAGTTACCACTGGGAGGCCTGAAATAGATAAAACACAATATCAGTCTGCTCAAGTCACATAGTCAATTTTCAAGTATCAACTGGAATGACTTCTATATGGGCCTTACTTCCTGTCACTGTCAGTGTGGTTTGACCACTGGTTCCAGTTCCTACAGCATTTGTGGCTGAACAGGTGTATATGGCGTTGTCACTGGCCGCAGCATTGAAGATGGTCAAGGATGGAGTATTGACCGTGGATCCAGAGTATTTGCCGGTGCCAGTGGTTAAGGTGGAAGGCACACCATTGACTATACGCTGCCAGAAAACATTGTTATGTGAAGGTGTGGCGGTCACTGTACATCCTAGTGTGACCGTTTGTCCTGTCACAACGGAGTAGCTGGTCTGGGCTATAGTGGCGATTGGCAAACCTGACAACACAACAAAAGTGATCGGTTGGTGATAATCCCTGATACTTTCAGACCCATTCTATTGAAGATATATTAGATGAAAAGTAGAATCTGAAAATGTGTACCTTCATGATGGATTTCTGAAAAAAAATCTTTATAGGTGTATGGTATTAAGCATTGGCTTAATTACAGGTTCACTTGTCTATGTAGTAATTGTGATAACTTTCCTCTCAATACAAGTAAGTCAATAGCCTAAGTCGATAACTGACACGAAAGTGTGTTCAACTATTGCTCATTAACAATAGTTTTTTCCCCTTAACAAAAAAAAAAAAACAAAACAAAAACGATTGAAAGCAAGATTTTTTACCAAGTTATTACCAAAAACATGTGCATTTCTTTTGTTTGTGAAAGTGTCTTTGAGATCAGATCTAAATACAGGAATGACACACCAACAAATTAAGAATGGTACATTGTTATTGTTTCAATTGTGATACAACTTTGAATAAAATTGGGAAAAGTTACAGTATAACATGTTATATAAACAAAGTTACAAATAGCCAATGAATATTGACCAGTTCACAACATACAGAGATATATTTCTAACTGTGAATATTGGAATGTTCATCAACATAACACTTAATGAAATATCAGGATCATTAATGTATCATCATGGACATACAAAGGTAGGAGACAGGATCATTAATGTATCATCAGGGACATACAAAGGTAGGAGACAGGATCATTACTGTATCATCAGGGACATACAAAGGTAGGAGACAGGGTCATTAATGTATCATCAGGGACACACATACATGTACATAGGATACAGGATCATTGATGTAACATTGTGGACATACGTAAGGAAAGAAACAGTATCACTTATACAGAGACAGGTGACAGGATCATTAATGCTCCAAAGCTTGGTACATGCTCTTGACAAACTTTGGTTTCCATTAAACAAGACACCCAATAGCCCAGCATTGTTCACCTGATATTTAATGCTTTTTAATAGATATGTGTAGATGTCACATTATTATACACCCCAAAATATCATTTTAAATCTTAATCAAATTTGACAAGTGTGACCTGCAATATGGATCAAGGTCATATCTTTTGACAAACATTGTCAGGCTTCATCCAAATAGCCTTGCAGTCAAACATCCCGATTCTAAACATGTTTCTTCTGAAGACGTTGTTTTAAAGGAAAACTTGACATCAGTATACAACATTGTTGCATTTCTACATGACCACGTTTAGCAAGTTTGTAAAAGAAGTTTTCTTTGTTATTTTCAAAGTTTCAATAACTCAATATATATCATACTTTTGATTTCAGTAATCGTTCATACATTTATAGTTAACTCTCTTCATACCACATTATCCTACTTAAAAGTTTGAAATGAAGTAAGAAATACAAAGAAATGCATAAATGTTTGTGAAAATTAGCAATGCATGCCAACTGTAACTTACTTCCAGTGACGGTTAGAGAAGTTGTGGTACTGGTTCCTGTACCAACAGCATTGGTAGCAGTACATGAATAAACAGCCTGGTCTGATGCAGCAGCATTTGTGATGGTCAGCGATGGTGTGGTTGGGTTAGCTCCCTGATATTTACTTCCATCAATAGCAACATTATTGGTTGTGGTACCTATTGTACGCCGCCAGATAACCTGTGTGTGAGCCGGATCAGCATTCACAGTACATTCCAGTACCACTGTCTGTCCTGTAATGACTGTATAAGTGGGCTGGGCAACAGTTACCACTGGGAGGCCTGAAATAGATAAAACACAATATCAGTCTGCTCAAGTCACATAGTCAATTTTCAAGTATCAACTGGAATGACTTCTATATGGGCCTTACTTCCTGTCACTGTCAGTGTGGTTTGACCACTGGTTCCAGTTCCTACAGCATTTGTTGCTGAACAGGTGTATATGGCGTTGTCACTGGCCGCAGCATTGAAGATGGTCAAGGATGGAGTATTGACCGTGGATCCAGAGTATTTGCCGGTGCCAGTGGTTAAGGTGGAAGGCACACCATTGACTATACGCTGCCAGAAAACATTGTTATGTGAAGGTGTGGCGGTCACTGTACATCCTAGTGTGACCGTTTGTCCTGTCACAACGGAGTAGCTGGTCTGGGCTATAGTGGCGATTGGCAAACCTGACAACACAACAAAAGTGATCGGTTGGTGATAATCCCTGATACTTTCAGAACCATTCTATTGAAGATATATTAGATGAAAAGTAGAATCTGAAAATGTGTACCTTCATGATGGATTTCTGAAAAAAAATCTTTATAGGTGTATGGTATTAAGCATTGGCTTAATTACAGGTTCACTTGTCTATGTAGTAATTGTGATAACTTTCCTCTCAATACAAGTAAGTCAATAGCCTAAGTCGATAACTGACACGAAAGTGTGTTCAACTACTGCTCATTAACAATAGTTTTTTCCCCTTAACAAAAAAAAAAAAAAAAAAACGATTGAAAGCAAGATTTTTTACCAAGTTATTACCAAAAACATGTGCATTTCTTTTGTTTGTGAAAGTGTCTTTGAGATCAGATCTAAATACAGGAATGACACACCAACAAATTAAGAATGGTACATTGTTATTGTTTCAATTGTGATACAACTTTGAATAAAATTGGGAAAAGTTACATGTTATATAAACAAAGTTACAAATAGCCAATGAATATTGACCAGTTCACAACATACAGAGATATATTTCTAACTGTGAATATTGGAATGTTCATCAACATAACACTTAATGAAATATCAGGATCATTAATGTATCATCATGGACATACAAAGGTAGGAGACAGGACCATTAAAGTATCATCAGGGGCATACAAAGGTAGGAGACAGGATCATTACTGTATCATCAGGGACATACAAAGGTGGGATACAGGATCATGAATGTATCATTTGGGACACACATACATGTACATAGGATACAGGATCATTGATGTAACATTGTGGACATACGTAAGGAAAGAAACAGTATCACTTATACAGAGACAGGTGACAGGATCATTGATGCTCCAAAGCTTGGTACATGCTCTTGACAAACTTTGGTTTCCATTAAACAAGTCACCCAATAGCCCCGCATTGTTCACCTGATATTTAATGCTTTTCAATAGATGTATGTAGATGTCACATTATTATACATCCCAAAATGTCATTTTAAATCTTAATCAAATTTGACAAGTGTGACCTGCAATATAGATCAAGGTCATATCTTTTGACAAACTTAGTCAGGCTTCATCCAAATAGCCTTGCAGTCAAACATCCTGATTCTAAACATGTTTCTTCTGAAGACGTTGTTGTAAAGGAAAACTTGACATCAGTATACAACATTGTGGCATTTCTACATGACCACGTTTAGCAAGTTTGTAAAAGAAGTTTTCTTCGTTATTTTCAAAGTTTCAATAACTCAATATATATCACACTTTTGATTTCAGTAATCGTTCATACATTTATAGTTAACTCTCTTCATACCACATTATCCTACTTAAAAGTTTGAAATGAAGTAAGAAATACAAAGAAATGCATAAATGTTTGTGAAAATTAGCAATGCATGCCAACTGTAACTTACTTCCAGTGACGGTTAGAGAAGTTGTGGTACTGGTTCCTGTACCAACAGCATTGGTAGCAGTACATGAATAAACAGCCTGGTCTGATGCAGCAGCATTTGTGATGGTCAGCGATGGTGTGGTTGGGTTAGCTCCCTGATATTTACTTCCATCAATAGCAACATTATTGGTTGTGGTACCTATTGTACGCCGCCAGATAACCTGTGTGTGGGCCGGATCAGCATTCACAGTACATTCCAGTACCACTGTCTGTCCTGTAATGACTGTATACGTGGGCTGGGCAACAGTTACCACTGGGAGGCCTGAAATAGATAAAACACAATATCAGTCTGCTCAAGTCACATAGTCAATTTTCAAGTATCAACTGGAATGACTTCTATATGGGCCTTACTTCCTGTCACTGTCAGTGTGGTTTGACCACTGGTTCCAGTTCCTACAGCATTTGTTGCTGAACAGGTGTATATGGCGTTGTCACTGGCCGCAGCATTGAAGATAGTCAAGGATGGAGTATTGACCGTGGATCCAGAGTATTTGCCGGTGCCAGTGGTCAATGTGGAAGGCACACCATTGACTATACGCTGCCAGAAAACATTGTTATGTGAAGGTGTGGCGGTCACTGTACATCCCAGTGTGACCGTTTGTCCTGTCACAACGGAGTAGCTGGTCTGGGCTATTGAGACGACTGGCAAACCTAAAAGATCCAATTGAAATCAAGTATCACCAGTCGCTCAAAAGCTACAACCTTATAATAGCATATTAAATCATTTCTTTTGAACTGTAAAAATTAATTCAGATATGACTACCAGGTGTTTTATGGATTTTCCTTTCATTATATCAATATACATGTTTACCAAAAAAATAGGTCTTTCACAGTCCAGCCACTTACAGCAAACTAAAGGAAATCAAACTATTTAAGTTCTTTTCAGTTCAATATATTGAACTAGTACAGTCAAATATGTTAAATTGAATAGATAGTTCTGTAAGTTAAAAATGTCTTATTAGTTCTGTAAATTAAGGCATGTTTGATTATTTCTAGACAGTGAAACGTGCTTCATTAGTTCTGTATAGTAAAACATGCTTAATTAGCTCTGTACATTTGTTAAAACAAAGTAAAGAAGGTCATTGAATAATTCTTTATTGTATTCATTTATAATCAACCCTAACATAATAGGAAATCTCATTCTTCATATTTTAACATATCTACAGCAAATCAAATAGAGAAAAATTAGAGGACTTTAAAAGATGGTCGCAGCAACCAAATTATTATCTCAATTCATCTGACACAAATGATCAGAGTAACAAATAATATACATTTAGTTCGAATTCTAAACTTTAAAACCAAAACATAGGAACCAACTGACAATATGTATTACTGACATGGGAACCAACTGACAGTATGTATTACTAATGAGAGAAGCAACTGACAATATGTATAACTAATGAGAGAAGCAACTGACAGTATGTATTACTAATGAGGGAACCAACTGACAATATGTATAACTGATGAGGGAACCAACTGACAATATGTATTACTAATGAGAGAAGCAACTGACAATATGTATAACTAATGAGAAAAGCAACTGACAATATGTATAACTAATGAGAGAAGCAACTGACGATATGTATAACTAATGAGAGAAGCAACTGACAATATGTATAACTAATGAGAGAAGCAACTGACGATATGTATAACTAATGAGAGAACCAACTGACAATATGTATAACTGACATGGGAACCAACTGACAATATGTATTACTAATGAGAGAAGCAACTGACAATATGTATAACTAATGAGAGAACCAACTGACAATATGTATAACTGATGAGAGAAGCAACTGACAATATGTATAACTGACATGGGAACCAACTGACAATATGTATTACTAATGAGAGAAGCAACTGACAATATGTATAACTGACATGGGAACCAACTGAGAGTATGTATTACTAATGAGGGAACCAACTGGCAATATGTATTACTAATGAGAGAACCAACTGACAATATGTATAACTGACATGGGAACCAACTGACAATATGTATTACTAATGAGTGAACCAACTGGCAATATGTATTACTAATGAGAGAAGCAACTGACAATATGTATTACTAATGAGAGAACCAACTAACAATATGTATAACTAATGAGAGAACCAACTGACGATATGTATAACTAATGAGGGAACCAACTGACAATATGTATTACTAATGAGTTAACCAACTGGCAATATGTATTACTAATGAGTGAACCAACTGGCAATATGTATTACTAATGAGGGAACCAACTGACAATATGTATAACTGACATGGGAACCAACTGACAATATGTATTACTAATGAGAGAAGCAACTGACGAAATGTATTACTGACATGGGAATCAACTGACAATATGTATTACTAATGAGAGAAGCAACTGACGATATGTATTACTAATGAGGGAACCAACTGACAATATGTATCACTAATGAGTGAACCAACTGGCAATATGTATTACTAATGAGGGAACCAACTGACAATATGTATTACTAATGAGTGAACCAACTGGCAATATGTATAACTAATGAGAGAAGCAACTGACGATATGTATTACTGACGTGGGAACCAACTGAGAGTATGTATTACTAATGAGGGAACCAACTGACGATATGTATTACTAATGAGGGAACCAACTGACAATATGTATTACTAATGAGAGAAGCAACTGACGATATGTATTACTAATGAGGGAACCAACTGACAATATGTATTACTAATGAGAGAAGCAACTGACAATATGTAACGCTGATGTGGGAACTAATTGACAATATGTATCGCTAATGAGGGAACCAACTGACAATATGTATTACTGCTGTGGGAACCAACTGACAATATGTATCACTGATGTGGGAACCAACTGACAATATGTATCAAACATGTGAACCAACTGACAATATGTATTACTTATGTGGGAATCAACTGACTATGTATCGCTGATGTGGGAACCAAATGACAATATTTATCACTGATGTGGGAACCAACTGACAATATGTATCAATGATGTGGGAACCAAACGACAATATGTATCGCTGATGTGGGAACCAACTGACAATATGTATCAATGATGTGGGAACCAACTGACAATATGTATCACAGACGTGGGAACCAACTGACAATATGTAACGCTGATGTGGGAACTAATTGACAATATGTGTCGCTAATGATGGAACCAACTGACAATATGTATTACTGATGTGGGAACCAACTGACAATATGTATCACTGATGTGGGAACCAACTGACAATATGTATCAAACATGTGAACCAACTGACAATATGTATTACTTATGTGGGAATCAACTGACTATGTATCGCTGATGTGGGCACCAAATGACAATATTTATCACTGATGTGGGAACCAACTGACAATATGTATCAATGATGTGGGAACCAAACGACAATATGTATCGCTGACGTGGGAACCAACTGACAATATGTATCGCTGATGTGGGAACCAACTGACAATATGTATCGCTGATGTGGGAACCAATTGACAATATGTATCGCTGACGTGGGAACCAACTGACAATATGTATCACTGACGTGGGAAAGAACTGACAATATGTATTACTGATGTGGGAACCAATTGACAATATGTTTCACTCAGAATCCTGAGACAAAAATATAAAATGGCTGCCACCATGAATATCTGCTCAAGTTAAAATTGTTATCATGATAAAAAGACAAAAGAAGAAATTTTCTAGTGAAGTTAGATCAAAAGTTTAGTGTAAAGTTTTGCAAGGACCGAAGAAAGTATCTCTGATCTTGAAAAACAGCAGTAATTGTTTTGACCACATATCCACATCTAGCCCTGATTGTTCAAAGGTTAACCAGTGGTTAATGGAAAATTCAAATGTTGCCACTGAACAAACAAGAGTGTTATATCCAAAATTAACACTCAAATTATGTAAATCTGACTTGTCTCAACAAATCTAAGACTGCAAAATGAGAAATTATTTTCAATTTTGTTTAATTCATTTTTGAAAATGTTCACTAGTCACAGGTTATCTCTAACTAGCCTTTGAACAACAGGGGCCTGATGGTAGTATAACTAAGATGTTAGTACAGATATACATATTAGAAATACACTGCAATGTTCCATTCAGTCCTGCCTCATAGTTGTAAGACCAGACTACTATCAGTCAATATAATCTTTAAGTGATTGATTGTACAGCATGTTCTATCAGAGACCTTTTATCAACAAGGAACTTTACTGCAATTATCAACCATAAACTACAGGAAAATTACAGCTCTCAAGTTACAGAAGCTGTTTTTTGACAACTATATTCAATTTTTTCATATGATTGGGAACATCCCTCCTATGATTAGCACTGAAGTCTCCCAGTTTTTAACAAAAGCAATGGTAACCAGAACCAGCAAATTGACAATCTAGTGTAATTTAGTAAATTTCATGACACTTTTGACCAATGAGAACACAGCATTATCGGTTTACAAACATGGCAGATGACAAGAGCTGGAGTCATCAAGAATACTTGTATCTTAAATGCTGTGTCAAATAAATAAAAAGCAGGTATTAACCATTTTTTTCGGTTGATATGAGGATTTGTTAACCTTCGAAAGGTGATATTCTCCTCGGCATGCAGAGAATATAACCTTCCCAGGTTGACAAATTTCATATTAACCTACAAAAAGTCAATAGTTGTATATTGTCATCAGTAGTCTAAACAACATAATGAACAGCATTGGAATGACATTATCAGTGGTTTGGTGCTTCTTACTTCCTGTAACTGTCAGTGAGACCTGGAGACTTTGTCCTGTTCCAACTTGATTGCTGGCAAAACAGACATATGTGCCTTGGTCTCCACTGTTGGCATTGTACACAATTAATGATGGACTGTTGACAGACGATCCACCATAATTTACATTGTCTATTGGCAGTGCAGAAGTCACTCCATTGCTAGGAGTGAACTGCCAGAATACACTTGTGTGTGTTGGATTAGCAGAGACTGAACACTGTAAGGTCACTGTTGTTCCCGTGATTACAGACCTTGTGGTCTGAGCAACAGTGACAGTTGGAATACCTGTAACAAAATTATGATATACCCACTGCACTGTACAACCATTTTTAGCAGATTAAGAACATAAAATCAATGAAAATAAATCCCCCATGAATGATTTCACAGTAAGTGGAACTGATGAATGCTCCCTGAAAACGTCTTTCTTTGTCTGTTCTACTTTACTTACTTCCAGCCAAAGTCAAGATAATGACAGCACCATTGTCTGTTATACTTTACTATATCCAGCCAAAGTCAAGATAATGACAGCACCATTGTCTGTTCTACATTACTTACTTCCAGCCAAAGTCAAGATAATGACAGCACCATTGTCTGTTCTACTTTACTTACTTCCAGTCAAAGTCAAGATAATGACAGCACCATTGTCTGTTCTACATTACTTACTTCCAGTCAAAGTCAAGATAATGACAGCACCGTTGTCTGTTCTACTTTACTATATCCAGCCAAAGTCAAGATAATGACAGCACCATTGTCTGTTCTATTTTACTTACTTCCAGTCAAAGTCAAGATAATGACAGCACCATTGTCTGTTCTACTTTACTTACTTCCAGTCAAAGTCAAGATAATGACAGCACCATTGTCTGTTCTACATTACTTACTTCCAGTCAAAGTCAAGATAATGACAGCACCATTGTCTGTTCTACTTTACTTACTTCCAGTCAAAGTCAAGATAATGACAGCACCATTGTCTGTTCTACTTTACTTACTTCCAGTCAAAGTCAAGATAATGACAGCACCATTGTCTGTTCTACTTTACTATATCCAGTCAAAGTCAAGATAATGACAGCACCATTGTCTGTTCTACTTTACTTACTTCCAGTCAAAGTCAAGATAATGACAGCACCATTGTCTGTTCTACTTTACTTACTTCCAGTCAAAGTCAAGATAATGACAGCACCATTGTCTGTTCTACTTTACTATATCCAGCCAAAGTCAAGATAATGACAGCACCATTGTCTGTTCTACATTACTTACTTCCAGTCAAAGTCAAGATAATGACAGCACCATTGTCTGTTCTACTTTACTTACTTCCAGATACAGTCAAAGTAGTGGGGTTACTACTGCCTATTCCAAAAGTACTGGTTGCGAAGCAAGTGTAGGACCCACTGTCTCCTGTGTCTGCATTGTTGATAGTCAATGATGGAGTACCAGTTGAGGATCCAGAATACTTGACATTGTCTATTGTCAAGGTGACAGTTGAGCTTTGGATGGTTCGTTGCCAGTACACAGTGTTAACTGTGGCGGCTGATGATACTACACAAGTGAGCGTGACTGAGCTTCCTGTGGTTGCACTGTACGTCGACTGTGCAACTGTTACTGTTGGTGCAGCTGAAATCAAAGCAAAAGTATTGCTTTTAAATTGTATATACATTTATATTTAGTAAATAGATTTCTACCACCTGTTTCAATATCTATCATGATGCTATTTTAAGTGTTTATGGTTGTCGTAATAGGAAGGAATAATGAAAAGCACCATGCCATGGCTGGTATACAAATTAGAAAACCTCCAGCTTGACCACTATCACTCAACTGAAGGGAAATTCCCACTAGCTGAGGCTATAGTAAGAAAAACTCTTCTACAATCTCATATCAACTGCTATCATTTTCTTTAAAACCCATGACAAACAATGGAAACCATATTAGCAGGAAAATGCCACCTAAATTAAAACCTCCTACAAGCATTATAATTTCATTACAAGAACCGTTTCAGTTTTGGGTCAGCTGGGAAAAAACAAAGGGAAGTAACTATGAGGGGCATTAGGAGCAGAAATTCAACCAAGATGATGCCTTAGTATTCGTAACTATGGTAACTAAAATCATGCAGCTCTTTGCAGTCCTTAACATTGATATCAGCTTAATGCACTTTCATAAAAATTGGATATTGTTTAAAATTCAAACAATCAGAAGACAGATTTTTAATGATGGTGTGTTTGATGATGATATCACCTACAATGGTAATTAAATAATGAAGTTTCATTAGAAACATATGAGTTATCTCCAAGAAGAAATACCAGAAACTTGAATTCTTTCTTCAGCAACAGATCCATCCCCTACACATAATCAAGATGCTTATCAAATGCAGATATAATTGGCCTAACAGTGCTGATAAACAAAAGTTGACAGACAGGGGAAAGAACAGACAGACAAACAGCACACCGGGAAATGCAAATCCATTTCATAAATAAAGTTGATACCATTGTATAACTCGTAAGAATTAGATTTGTGGTATATTAAAATAAAGTAGTTGACCAGCATTAACAGGGACTTGAAGAGAATGTAGTAACATAATTAACATCTACATCAAAGACATTATATATCATCTCAGTGGCCGATTCTCAATACTTTATGATGGTATAGTAACTTCTTCCTAGAATAAAACTCAGTAAGTTTCACGTCAAGCATGGAAAAAAGGGTTAATAGTTTTTAAATATAATCCACTAGCAATAATACCTGTGGTCATTGTAGCTGTGATATCACTGTCAGTTCTATATACCTGATATAATGGTCGGTGTAGCCGTGACATCACTGTCAGTTCTATATACCTGATATAATGGTCAATGTAGCTGTGATATCACTGACAGTTCTATATACCTGATATAATGGTCGGTGTAGCCGTGACATCACTGTCAGTTCTATATACCTGATATAATGGTCAATGTAGCTGTGATATCACTGACAGTTCTATATACCTGATGTAATGGTCAGTGTAGCTGTGACATCGCTGTCAGTTCTATATACCTGATATAATGGTCAGTGTAGCTGTGACATCGCTGTCAGTTCTATATACCTGATATAATGGTCAGTGTAGCTGTGACATCACTGTCAGTTCTATATACCTGATATAATGGTCAGTGTAGCTGTGACATCACTGTCAGTTCTATATACCTGATGTTATGGTCAGTGTAGCTGTGACATCACTGTCAGTTCTATATACCTGATATAATGGTCACGGTTGCTGTAACATCACTGTCAGTTCTATATACCTGATATAATGGTCAGTGTAGCTGTGACATCACTGTCAGTTCTTTATACCTGATGTAATGGTCAGTGTAGCTGTGACATCACTGTCAGTTCTATATACCTGATATAATGGTCAGTGTAGCTGTGACATCGCTGTCAGTTCTATATACCTGATATAATGGTCAGTGTAGCTGTGACATCACTGTCAGTTCTATATACCTGATATAATGGTCAGTGTAGCTGTGACATCACTGTCAGTTCTATATACCTGATGTTATGGTCAGTGTAGCTGTGACATCACTGTCAGTTCTATATACCTGATATAATGGTCACGGTTGCTGTGACATCACTGTCAGTTCTATATACCTGATATAATGGTCAGTGTAGCTGTGACATCACTGTCAGTTCTTTATACCTGATATAATGGTCACGGTTGCTGTGACATCACTGTCAGTTCTATATACCTGATATAATGGTCAGTGTAGCTGTGACATCACTGTCAGTTCTATATACCTGATGTTATGGTCACGGTTGCTGTGATATCACTGTCAGTTCTATATACCTGATGTAATGGTCAGTGTAGCTGTGACATCACTGCCACTATGAATATCTGCTCAAGTTAAAATTGTTATCATGATAAAAAGACAAAAGAAGAAATTTTCTAGTGAAGTTCGATCAAAAGTTTAGTGTAAAGTTTCGCAAGGACCGAAGAAAGTATCTCTGATCTTGAAAAACAGCAGTAATTGTTTTGACCACATATCCACATCTAGCCCTGATTGTTCAAAGGTTAACCAGTGGTTAATGGAAAATTCAAATTGTTGCCACTGAACAAACAAGAGTGTTATATCCAAAATTAACACTCAAATTATGTAAATCTGACTTGTCTCAACAAATCTAAGACTGCAAAATGAGAAATTATTTTCAATTTTGTTTAATTCATTTTTGAAAATGTTCACTAGTCACAGGTTATCTCTAACTAGCCTTTGAACAACAGGGGCCTGATGGTAGTATAACTAAGATGTTAGTACAGATATACATATTAGAAATACACTGCAATGTTCCATTCAGTCCTGCCTCATAGTTGTAAGACCAGACTACTATCAGTCAATATAATCTTTAAGTGATTGATTGTACAGCATGTTCTATCAGAGACCTTTTATCAACAAGGAACTTTACTGCAATTATCAACCATAAACTACAGGAAAATTACAGCTCTCAAGTTACAGAAGCTGTTTTTTGACAACTATATTCAATTTTTTCATATGATTGAGAACATCCCTCCTATGATTAGCACTGAAGTCTCCCAGTTTTTAACAAAAGCAATGGTAACCAGAACCAGCAAATTGACAATCTAGTGTAATTTAGTAAATTTCATGACACTTTTGACCAATGAGAACACAGCATTATCGGTTTACAAACATGGCAGATGACAAGAGCTGGAGTCATCAAGAATACTTGTATCTTAAATGCTGTGTCAAATAAATAAAAAGCAGGTATTAACCATTTTTTTCGGTTGATATGAGGATTTGTTAACCTTCGAAAGGTGATATTCTCCTCGGCATGCAGAGAATATAACCTTCCCAGGTTGACAAATTTCATATTAACCTACAAAAAGTCAATAGTTGTATATTGTCATCAGTAGTCTAAACAACATAATGAACAGCATTGGAATGACATTATCAGTGGTTTGGTGCTTCTTACTTCCTGTAACTGTCAGTGAGACCTGGAGACTTTGTCCTGTTCCAACTTGATTGCTGGCAAAACAGACATATGTGCCTTGGTCTCCACTGTTGGCATTGTACACAATTAATGATGGACTGTTGACAGACGATCCACCATAATTTACATTGTCTATTGGCAGTGCAGAAGTCACTCCATTGCTAGGAGTGAACTGCCAGAATACACTTGTGTGTGTTGGATTAGCAGAGACTGAACACTGTAAGGTCACTGTTGTTCCCGTGATTACAGACCTTGTGGTCTGAGCAACAGTGACAGTTGGAATACCTGTAACAAAATTATGATATACCCACTGCACTGTACAACCATTTTTAGCAGATTAAGAACATAAAATCAATGAAAATAAATCCCCCATGAATGATTTCACAGTAAGTGGAACTGATGAATGCTCCCTGAAAACGTCTTTCTTTGTCTGTTCTACTTTACTTACTTCCAGCCAAAGTCAAGATAATGACAGCACCATTGTCTGTTATACTTTACTATATCCAGCCAAAGTCAAGATAATGACAGCACCATTGTCTGTTCTACATTACTTACTTCCAGCCAAAGTCAAGATAATGACAGCACCATTGTCTGTTCTACTTTACTTACTTCCAGTCAAAGTCAAGATAATGACAGCACCATTGTCTGTTCTACATTACTTACTTCCAGTCAAAGTCAAGATAATGACAGCACCGTTGTCTGTTCTACTTTACTATATCCAGCCAAAGTCAAGATAATGACAGCACCATTGTCTGTTCTACTTTACTTACTTCCAGTCAAAGTCAAGATAATGACAGCACCATTGTCTGTTCTACTTTACTTACTTCCAGTCAAAGTCAAGATAATGACAGCACCATTGTCTGTTCTATTTTACTTACTTCCAGTCAAAGTCAAGATAATGACAGCACCATTGTCTGTTCTACATTACTTACTTCCAGTCAAAGTCAAGATAATGACAGCACCATTGTCTATTCTACTTTACTTACTTCCAGTCAAAGTCAAGATAATGACAGCACCATTGTCTGTTCTACATTACTTACTTCCAGTCAAAGTCAAGATAATGACAGCACCATTGTCTGTTCTACTTTACTTACTTCCAGTCAAAGTCAAGATAATGACAGCACCATTGTCTGTTCTACTTTACTATATCCAGTCAAAGTCAAGATAATGACAGCACCATTGTCTGTTCTACTTTACTTACTTCCAGTCAAAGTCAAGATAATGACAGCACCATTGTCTGTTCTACTTTACTTACTTCCAGTCAAAGTCAAGATAATGACAGCACCATTGTCTGTTCTACTTTACTTACTTCCAGTCAAAGTCAAGATAATGACAGCACCGTTGTCTGTTCTACTTTACTTACTTCCAGTCAAAGTCAAGATAATGACAGCACCATTGTCTGTTCTACTTTACTTACTTCCAGCCAAAGTCAAGATAATGACAGCACCATTGTCTGTTCTACTTTACTTACTTCCAGTCAAAGTCAAGATAATGACAGCACCATTGTCTGTTCTATTTTACTTACTTCCAGTCAAAGTCAAGATAATGACAGCACCATTGTCTGTTCTACATTACTTACTTCCAGTCAAAGTCAAAATAATGACAGCACCGTTGTCTGTTCTACATTACTTACTTCCAGTCAAAGTCAAGATAATGACAGCACCATTGTCTGTTCTACTTTACTTACTTCCAGTCAAAGTCAAGATAATGACAGCACCATTGTCTGTTATACTTTACTATATCCAGCCAAAGTCAAGATAATGACAGCACCATTGTCTGTTCTACTTTACTTACTTCCAGTCAAAGTCAAGATAATGACAGCAACATTGTCTGTTCTACTTTACTTACTTCCAGTCAAAGTCAAGATAATGACAGCACCATTGTCTATTCTACTTTACTTACTTCCAGTCAAAGTCAAGATAATGACAGCACCATTGTCTGTTCTACATTACTTACTTCCAGTCAAAGTCAAGATAATGACAGCACCATTGTCTGTTCTACTTTACTTACTTCCAGATACAGTCAAAGTAGTGGGGTTACTACTGCCTATTCCAAAAGTACTGGTTGCGAAGCAAGTGTAGGACCCACTGTCTCCTGTGTCTGCATTGTTGATAGTCAATGATGGAGTACCAGTTGAGGATCCAGAATACTTGACATTGTCTATTGTCAAGGTGACAGTTGAGCTTTGGATGGTTCGTTGCCAGTACACAGTGTTAACTGTGGCGGCTGATGATACTACACAAGTGAGCGTGACTGAGCTTCCTGTGGTTGCACTGTACGTCGACTGTGCAACTGTTACTGTTGGTGCAGCTGAAATCAAAGCAAAAGTATTGCTTTTAAATTGTATATACATTTATATTTAGTAAATAGATTTCTACCACCTGTTTCAATATCTATCATGATGCTATTTTAAGTGTTTATGGTTGTCGTAATAGGAAGGAATAATGAAAAGCACCATGCCATGGCTGGTATACAAATTAGAAAACCTCCAGCTTGACCACTATCACTCAACTGAAGGGAAATTCCCACTAGCTGAGGCTATAGTAAGAAAAACTCTTCTACAATCTCATATCAACTGCTATCATTTTCTTTAAAACCCATGACAAACAATGGAAACCATATTAGCAGGAAAATGCCACCTAAATTAAAACCTCCTACAAGCATTATAATTTCATTACAAGAACCGTTTCAGTTTTGGGTCAGCTGGGAAAAAACAAAGGGAAGTAACTATGAGGGGCATTAGGAGCAGAAATTCAACCAAGATGATGCCTTAGTATTCGTAACTATGGTAACTAAAATCATGCAGCTCTTTGCAGTCCTTAACATTGATATCAGCTTAATGCACTTTCATAAAAATTGGATATTGTTTAAAATTCAAACAATCAGAAGACAGATTTTTAATGATGGTGTGTTTGATGATGATATCACCTACAATGGTAATTAAATAATGAAGTTTCATTAGAAACATATGAGTTATCTCCAAGAAGAAATACCAGAAACTTGAATTCTTTCTTCAGCAACAGATCCATCCCCTACACATAATCAAGATGCTTATCAAATGCAGATATAATTGGCCTAACAGTGCTGATAAACAAAAGTTGACAGACAGGGGAAAGAACAGACAGACAAACAGCACACCGGGAAATGCAAATCCATTTCATAAATAAAGTTGATACCATTGTATAACTCGTAAGAATTAGATTTGTGGTATATTAAAATAAAGTAGTTGACCAGCATTAACAGGGACTTGAAGAGAATGTAGTAACATAATTAACATCTACATCAAAGATATTATATATCATCTCAGTGGCCGATTCTCAATACTTTATGATGGTATAGTAACTTCTTCCTAGAATAAAACTCAGTAAGTTTCACGTCAAGCATGGAAAAAAGGGTTAATAGTTTTTAAATATAATCCACTAGCAATAATACCTGTGGTCATTGTAGCTGTGATATCACTGTCAGTTCTATATACCTGATATAATGGTCGGTGTAGCCGTGACATCACTGTCAGTTCTATATACCTGATATAATGGTCAATGTAGCTGTGATATCACTGACAGTTCTATATACCTGATATAATGGTCGGTGTAGCCGTGACATCACTGTCAGTTCTATATACCTGATATAATGGTCAATGTAGCTGTGATATCACTGACAGTTCTATATACCTGATGTAATGGTCAGTGTAGCTGTGACATCGCTGTCAGTTCTATATACCTGATATAATGGTCAGTGTAGCTGTGACATCGCTGTCAGTTCTATATACCTGATATAATGGTCAGTGTAGCTGTGACATTACTGTCAGTTCTATATACCTGATGTTATGGTCAGTGTAGCTGTGACATCACTGTCAGTTCTATATACCTGATATAATGGTCACGGTTGCTGTGACATCACTGTCAGTTCTATATACCTGATATAATGGTCAGTGTAGCTGTGACATCACTGTCAGTTCTATATACCTGATGTTATGGTCAGTGTAGCTGTGACATCACTGTCAGTTCTATATACCTGATATAATGGTCACGGTTGCTGTGACATCACTGTCAGTTCTATATACCTGATATAATGGTCAGTGTAGCTGTGACATCACTGTCAGTTCTTTATACCTGATATAATGGTCACGGTTGCTGTGACATCACTGTCAGTTCTATATACCTGATATAATGGTCAGTGTAGCTGTGACATCACTGTCAGTTCTATATACCTGATGTTATGGTCACGGTTGCTGTGATATCACTGTCAGTTCTATATACCTGATATAATGGTCACGGTTGCTGTGACATCACTGTCAGTTCTATATACCTGATATAATGGTCAGTGTAGCTGTGACATCACTGTCAGTTCTATATACCTGATGTTATGGTCAGTGTAGCTGTGACATCACTGTCAGTTCTATATACCTGATATAATGGTCACGGTTGCTGTGACATCACTGTCAGTTCTATATACCTGATATAATGGTCAGTGTAGCTGTGACATCACTGTCAGTTCTTTATACCTGATATAATGGTCACGGTTGCTGTGACATCACTGTCAGTTCTATATACCTGATATAATGGTCAGTGTAGCTGTGACATCACTGTCAGTTCTATATACCTGATGTTATGGTCACGGTTGCTGTGATATCACTGTCAGTTCTATATACCTGATGTAATGGTCAGTGTAGCTGTGACATCACTGTCAGTTCTACATACCTGATGTAATGGTCACGGTTGCTGTGTCACTGCTGCCAATTCCAAAAGCATTGACAGCAAAGCATTGGTAGGTTCCTGAATCATTTGTATCTGCATCAATGATCGTTAAAGAAGGTGTGGCTACTGAAGCCCCAGAGTATTGTGTCCCATCACCATTTATTATCTCAGTTCCTTGTCCTACATTACGCTGCCAGTAGACAGAAGTAACTGTAGTATCAGATGTAACTGTACAGCCGAGAGTAATAGTAGTCGACACTTGTGCACCAAAGGCAGTTTGGGCGATGGTTACAGTTGGTACTGGAAAATAGGATACAATTATCTTTAAGCTGCTTGAATAGCCATTGTAGCTGAAGAAATTAAGAAATAAAAATAGTAGATTGCTACTTTAGCATCCTGTTAACCTTTGTAACACATATCAAACATTTATTGAATACTTTTTCTTTTTTATTGTTTACTTGTGTTATCTCTAATTCTAAATGACATGCACGTCACATTGAAAAATCTGTTCAAAATTACATTTTTCACACCAGAACACCAAAACAAAAAGTTTTTCTTATATTTGCATTTTGACAGGGTTTTTTTTCTTTATCTATTTATTTATACTTCTTAAAAAGAGATAACCATTCATTGGACATGACATGCACTGACACAACTGCTGACATCTTTTATTACATTTTTTATAACTTATTATTTATGTATAGATGCAAAACACAGCTTTACATACAAGCTTATATAATGTATATTATTTCATACATGTAGCAGTCTTGATTCTTCACAAATATTCTATGTAAGTTTGCAGTATCAGAAAAGTCAAGATAATGATGGCACGATGCCCTCCATGACACTCCACACTGGTCATTTGTCCGATGAATGTGATTGTGATCAAAGTGACACACTCTAATCTTCTCTTGGTTGTGTTATAAGAACTTCTATTCTATTGACATTACCATTCTACACACAATACTATCTATAGGCTATGAATATATCTAGTATTGATGTTCACTGAAGTAAATGTATATATATACAGTCGTCAGTGACGGTATAAACACTCACGACTGTATATATATATATATATAAATAAAAATGATTTTTGACAAAAGAAGAAAGACGTTACATTTTGCACTAGCGCTTTCACTGTATTAGATCTTCAGGTGCATAGTAACTGTACATAATGGTGTGGTGTCACAACATGTTATCTGTTGATGACGTCATAATATAAAAGGGGCATAATTATATTTTGCAAACTTTATAATGCGGTTAAAAATTAATATTCAAGTCTGGTTTTAAAATGTTTATAATTTCTGACTCCTTGGGTTCTCTTTGTATTCGATTGGTTTCAGATGAAAAAGTATACAGGGGGAAGATTTGGAAAAAGCCGTCGTTGCATCCTGCTATGTGTCGGCTGATTGGTAGATGTCTATATCTTTCGTGGGATATTTGTTCACGATGTAATGTTACGCGTTTGTGGAGGTTTTCTGTTTGTCCTATATAGAAACTTCCACATTTTGGACAAAGGATTAAGTAAATCACGTTTTTTGATTTACAGTTCATACTGCTTTTAACTTCCCACTTTTTTACCCTTTTCATTGTAAGGAGTTCCCTGTTATGATATGTTGACACGTTCCACATCTCTTTTCTCGACAAGTATTGACTTCTGGTAACTTTGTTTCTGATGAAAATGATGCACGTATTAGATATTTATTGGCTGACGATAGCTTGTGATAAATTTGGTATTTTTCATAATGTTTTTCATTCGCTCAGAGCCATCTAAAATGTTCATATGTTGTTTGACCGTTCCTTTGATTTGAGGGTTACTGGGGTTGTATGTCATGACAAGTGGCAGCACCTTCTATATATATATATATACTATCAGAGATCATGTTGATATTGTCACACTGTTATGGTTTGGGGTGGCATTAGCATGCAAGGCAAGACCGACCTTCATGTGTTCCTTAATGGCAGTTTGACTGCACAGAGGTACTGTGACGAAGTCCTGGACGTGTACGTCAGGCCTTATGCTGGTGCTATAGGTTCCTAATTCATTCTTATGGACGATAAGCGCGACCACACAGAGCTCGTGTGACTGAACAGTATCTGGAAAGGGAAACAATTGAGAGGATGGACTGGCAAGCCCGATCTCCAGATCTCAGTCCTATAGAACACGTGTGGGACATGCTTCAGAACGCTGTTTCGGCGAGAAACATCCAACCTAGAATGCTTCAGGAACTTCAAGCAGCTCTCGTCGCTGAATGGACAAGTATTACCCAAAACCGGATATGAGACATGATCAGAAGCATGCGCCGCAACTGTCAGAGCGTAATTGATGCTCGAGGACATTATACCCGATACTAACACTGTATTTTTCGCTGAACAACACTGTTGCTTAGGACTTAATTTTTCGCCCCTTTTGTATTAATTTGCGATTTTCGGAGTATCTGTGTACAATGAGCATTGAAGCAAATTAATACTGTTATTCTTCGCTTGGTGTTGTTTAATCTTCATCTTATAATGCCGAAATATGTATAAATTGAACTGTAGAATATATTCTTAAAATAGATACCATTACACATTAAATAAAAAAGTGATCCCTATCAAATTGTGAGTAGTATATATATTTACTATCAGAGATCATGTTTATATCGTCACTAACGACTGTATATATATATTCACTATCAGAGATCATGTTGATATCGTCACTAAAAACTGTATATATATATATATATATATTTACTATCAGATATCATGTTTATACCGTCACTGACGACTGTATATATATATACATATATATATTTATTATCAGAGATCATGTTTATACCGTCACTGACGATTGTATATATATATATATATACATATATATATTTACTATCAGAGATCATGTTTATACCGTCACTGACGACTGTATATATATATCGGTGCACAGTTGTCTACTTGGCTTCACTGTAAATTTGCAACATGCTATTTCACTTTTTGTGTGTCTTTTTGTGCAATCTTTGGCTACAAGTCCTATCTGATTATGAAACTTTAATTAGTGATACAGTATGCTTCAGTTGGCCAATAAACTATTTCATCCCGAAAACCATGTCTGATTGTCAAATGACAACCTCGCTGGCAATGTCTCATCAAAGTCTGGTATTTTTCTCTTTTTCCATTGTTTTTAATAATTAAGAATCATCATAACTATCAAGACCAGGTGATTATATAAGGGACCATAATTTCTGTTAAAATTTGAAAGTCACATCTTGCAATAAATGGGTCTATACACCTCTACCAGCACTTAAAATCAAGGGAGATAACTTAGTTTTGTAGACAAATAATCCTGATTGGCTACATGTAAGACTAGGTGACCTCATTGCATTGTTATCAATGTGTTGTGTTGAAAATTTCTTTTTGAAAATGTACTAAAAACAAACAGACAAACAAACAAAAGGACCTGAAAATTACTACGCAAATTAGATCAAGTGATTCTCAACTTGGCAGAACAATTCATAAAGCATCTGATACTGTCGTTGCATCAGCCATCTACCTGAAGTTTTCTAGAGAAGTCAGTATCTGGTTGCTATAACTAATTCAGGGCTAATTGTTCTGTAATAAACAAACCCTGTGACTTCTGGATCAGAGGCATTGTTGATTTTACAGGTAACCAGTATGTACTTACATGTAGAACTAGTGACTGTCAACACAGTGGAAGCACTAAGTGTACCAATGCTGTTAGTTGCTATACAAGTGTAAGTGCCATCGTCCGCACTGCTAGTACTTGTAATGGTAAGAGAAGGATTTCCTGTGTTCCCATTTTGATACTTGGAGCCATCTATTGTCAAAGCAGTTGTTGCACCATTACTGTTACGTGTCCAGCTTAGGGCCGTGAGAGAGGGGTTTGCAACCACATTACAAACAAGAGTGATATCTGTTCCAGCGGCAATATTGTAATTATTTGCACCCATAGTTACCGTAGGAGCAGCTGCAAAAAACAGATCAAAGTGCCGAGGGCGCTTAAAGATGCATTGAAATAAAGGAATAAAGCAAGCAACAATATAACTTAATGAAGTATGAAAATAATCTTTCAACCGGAAATTACCAGGAAAATGATTTTCTATATATGACAAGCATCATCTGACTGATGACACTCTAAACTTGCATTTTTGGCAATGATTTAAATTTCAAAAAGAGACCTTGAACTTTAACCTATGATGCATTTGCTTGTTTAATGTAGGTAGGTCTTAATGAACATACATATGGAATTAAAATGTTGAAACATTGGTTGATTAAAGATGTAACAAACATGAACAGGGACTAGAGTATGTTCAAGAGAGAGATGATGTGTAATGCCAATACCAGGTGGGTGAATCAATACATCCTAAAGAGATATTTACCCCATAATTTTAAGATTGGGTCCAAAGTCAAATACACACATCTCAGGGTCAATGTGTGCACATATAGGGACAAAGGAAAACACACATATCACAGAAACTTAAGAATTGTATATCTAGTAATTCTCAATGCAAGAAGTTTAAAGAAATGAAACAAATTGTAACTGTCAAAGTCAATGAAGGCTGCCAGTATTCACAAAAAAGTACATTTCATTTCAAAACAAGAGATCCCAGAGGGATCTTGGCACCCACCATTTGAGGATCTGTTTTCAGTTCTTGAAGATTTGTTTATTTATTTTTTTTTTGTTACAAGTGTTGTAAATGTTCATAAACTGGTCTTCATTGAATGTACTCAATGATGGCACAAGATATTTTTATTAAGCACCTATTAGCAAATATCATTTGAAAAAGATCCTAAAGTATTATTAGATAGCAGTCAGTTACAGGTGGATAATGGACATGGTCTTGGATCAATATGATAGAATATCAAAGAAAATATGCTTGTGCTGTATTACTGTCGACATCCAATATGGATGCCTGTGGGCCACCTTGATTTCAAATCAGTCCAAAAAAGGTACAATGCACAACTAGGGACCAAGGGAAACCAATACCTATGAAATATCAGAAGGATCCATCCAGTACTTCCTCAGAAATAGTGGTAACAAGATTTTACTCTCAAAATCCAAGATGGCTGCCTGTCAGCCATCTTGATTTTGGATCAGTCCAAAAAAGGTAAAATGCACAATTAGGGACCAAGGGGAACCTGCATATGAAATCTGAGAAAGATCCATCAAGTATTTCCCAGAAACAGCGATAACAAACAACAAGGGACCAAGGGGAAGCTCCATATGGAATTTGACAAAGATCCATCCAGTACTTTCTCAGAAATAGTGGTAACAAGAATTGTTTTCGGACAGACAGACGTACGGATGACGAACGCAGGGGGATTTGAATAGCCCACAATCTGATGATGGTGGGCTAATGATGTTTTAACCAGTCTCAAAAAACAAAGCACAACCAGAAACAAGCATCTGTACGAGTAATTAACAATCACTGAGGACAGTAACTGTACGAGTATTCAACAGTTGCTGAGGACAGTAACTGTATGAGTAATCAACAGTCACTGAGGACAGTAACTGTACGAGTAATCAACAGTCGCCGAGGACAGTAACTGTACGAGTAATCAACAGTCGCTGAGGACAGTAACTGTACGAGTAGTCAAGAGTCGACGAGGACAGTAACTGTAAGAGTAATCAACAGTCGCCGAGGAAAGTAACTGTACGAGTAGTCAACAGTAGCCGAGGACAGTAACTGTACGAGTAATCAACCGTCGGTGACGACAGTAACTGTACGAGTAATCAACAGTCGCCGAGGAAAGTAACTGTACGAGTAGTCAAGAGTCGAAGAGGACAGTAACTGTAAGAGTAATCAACAGTCGCCGAGGACAGTAACTGTACGAGTAATCAACAGTCGCTGAGGACAGTAACTGTACGAGTAATCAACCATCAGTGACGACAGTAACTGTACGAGTAATCAACAGTCGCTGAGGACAGTATCTGTACGAATAATCAACAGTCGCTGAGGACAGTAACTGTACGAGTAATCAACAGTTGCTGAGGACAGTAACTGTACGAATAATCAACAGTCGCTGAGGACAGTAACTGTACGAGTAATCAACCGTCAGTGAGGACAGTAACTGTATGAGTAATCAACAGTCGCTGAGGACAGTAACTGTACGAGTAATCAACTGTCGGTGACGACAGTAACTGTACGAGTAATCAACAGGCGACGAGGACAGTAACTGTACGAGTAATCAACAGTCGCTGAGGACAGTAACTGTACGAGTAATCAACTGTCGGTGACGACAGTAACTGTACGAGTAATCAACAGGCGACGAGGACAGTAACTGTACGAGTAGTCAACAGTCGCCGAGGACAGTAACTGTACGAGTAATCAACCGTCAGTGGGGACAGTAACTGTACGACTAATCAACCGTCAGTGAGGACAGTAACTGTACGAGTAATCAACAGTCGCTGAGGACAGTAACTGTACGAGTAATCAACAGTCGCTGAGGACAGTAACTGTACGAGTAATAAACAGTCGCTGAGGACAGTAACTGTACGAGTAATAAGCAGTCGCTGAGGACAGTAACTGTACGAGTATTCAACAGTCGCTGAGGACAGTAACTGTATGAGTAATCAACAGTCGCTGAGGACAGTAACTGTATGAGTAATCAACAGTCACCGAGGACAGTAACTGTACGAGTAATCAACCGTCAGTGGGGACAGTAACTGTACGACTAATCAACAGTCACCGAGGACAGTAACTGTATTAGCAGTCACAGAGCTATTCAATTATTAAGAGGCCCAGACCACCTGTATCACACACACAGAGCTATATAGATATTTAGAAGGCCAGGTCACCTGTATCACACACACAGAGCTATTCAGACATTAAGAGGCCCAGGGCATCTGTATCACACACACAGAGCTATTCAGACATTAAGAGACCCTGAGCACTTGTATCACACATACAGAGCTATACAGATATTGAGAGGGACCGGGCACCTGTATCACAGACACAGAGCTATATAGATATTATGTGGCCCAAGGGCACCTGTATCACACACACAGAGCTATATAGATATTATGTGGCCAAGAGCACCTGTATTACACACACAGAGCTATATAGATATTTAGAAGGCCAGGGCACCTGTATCACACACACAGAGCTATATAGATATTATGTGGCCCAGGGCACCTGTATCACAAACACAGAGTTATATAGATATTAAGAAGCCCAAGGCACCTGTATCACACACAGAGCTATTCAGATATATTAAGAGGCCCAGAGCACCTGTATCACACACACAGAGCTATATAGTATTACCGGGTCCAGGACACCTGTATCACAAACACAGAGCTATTCAGATATTAAGAGGCCCAGTGCACCTGTATCACAGACACAGAGCTATTCAGATATTAAGAGGCCCAGAGCACTTCCATCACACACGCGAAGCAATTCATATATTAATAAGCCCAGGGTACCTATATTTCTCACACAGAGCTATTCAGATATTAAGAGGCCAAGGCCACCTGTATCACATACAAACAGAGCAATTCAGATATTAAGAGGCCCAGAGCGCCTGTATCACACACACAGAGTTATACAGATGTTATGTGGCCCAAGGCACATGTATTTCACTCACAGAGCTATTCAGATATTAAGACTGCTGAGGCACCTGTATCACACACCCACAAAGCTATACAGATATTATATGGCCCAAGGCACCTGTATTTCACTCACAGAGCTATTCAGATATTAAGAGGCCAAGGCCACCTGTATCACATACAAACAGAGCAATTCAGATATTAAGAGGCCCAGAGCGCCTGTATCACACACACAGAGTTATACAGATGTTATGTGGCCCAAGGCACATGTATTTCACTCACAGAGCTATTCAGATATTAAGACTGCTGAGGCACCTGTATCACACACCCACAAAGCTATACAGATATTAAGAGGCCCAGAGCACCTGTATCACACACACACAGAGCTAAACAGATATGAAGAGGCCCAGAGCACCTGTATCATACACACACAGAGCTATACAGATATTAAGAGGCACATAACAGAGCTACAGATATTAAGAGGCCCAGGGCATCACACACACAGAGCTATATAGATATTCATATATTAAGAGGCCCAGGCCACCTGTATCACAGACACACACACAGAGCTATCACACACACAGATATCATATATTGGCCCAAGAGGCCAAGTACCTGTATCACACACACAGAGCTATACAGATATTAAGAGGCCAAGGTATCACACACACACCTGTATCACATACAAACAGAGCTATACAGATATTAAGAGGCCCAGGGCACCTGTATCACACACACATAGAGCTATACAGATATTAAGAGGCCCAGGGCACCTGTATCACACACAGAGCTCATATATTAAGAGGCCCAGGGTACCTGTATTTCACACACAGAGCTATACAGATATTAAGAGGCCAAGGCCACCTGTATCACATACAAACAGAGCTATCAAATATTGAGAGGCCCAGGGCACCTGTATCAGACACTAACACAGAGCTATTCAGATATTAACAGGCCCAGGGCACCTGTATCACAAACACAGAGCTATATAGATATTACGTGGCTCAATGCACCTGTATTTCACACGCAGAGCTATTCATATATTTAGAGGCCAAGGCCACCTGTATCACATACAAACAGAGCAATTCAGATATTAAGAGGCCCAGAGCGCCTGTATCACACACACAGAGCTATACAGATGTTATGTGGCCCAAGGCACATGTATTTCACTCACAGAGCTATTCAGATATTAAGATTGCTGAGGCACCTGTATCACACACCCACAAAGCTATACAGATATTAAGAGGCCCAGAGCACCTGTATCACACACACAGAGAGCTAAACAGATATGAAGAGGCCCAGAGCACCTGTATCATACACACACAGAGCTATACAGATATTAAGAGGCCCAGGGCATCGGTATCATACACACAGAGCTATACAGATATTAAGAGTCCCCGGTCA